CCCCCCCCCCCCCCCCGCCTAGAGCCCCTGTTCAGCCCTTAAATCAGACAGTCTGAGAAGCGAAAGTCAGCTCTGAGGCCTCAGCATTTTGATGACGACCGATAATGAAGCTCTATATCTCCGCAGGGCCAGGCTTCCCAATGACCGTTATTACGTAACTTTATGCTCCTCGGAAGGGGTTCTGAGAGCCTCTCATATACTGGGTAAAAACTTACATTATTTCCTCTTTCCTCACTCAGCATGCCGGCTCCTTCATGGATTCTGCACACAGGGGATGTTTTATGGAAAGCGTGTCTCATATTGTCCCCATGTGTTTGAAAAAGGACGCCCCTTTTGCCACCGATTTCCTATTCGTCCCTGCAGCCACCCCTCACTCCCCGCTCCTGTGTTCATTCATCCAGGAGGGCATGCAGTGGGCACCTTCGGTGCCCCCGGTGTCAGGAACTGGTGTTCTAGGGCAAGTGGCCTGTGCAGAGCACAGGGTGTGAGAGGACGTGGCGTGGTTGGGGAAGGACTGGGGATGCTGGACGGCAGGGTGTGAGCGGGGGTGGACTTCTGGGACAACGGAAGGGGGCAGGGGACGCCAGATTGCGGAGGGCCTTGAGCGTCAAGAACTTGGCTTTCTTCCTGCGGGCGGCAGGAAGTCGATGAACTAGTTTAAACAGGGGAGGCTCACGATCAGGGTGTTATCTGAGAGCAAACATTGTGACTTTTTTGAAATACCAATGAGGTGGCAGTTTTTGATAAATATCGTAAGTTAAGGTATAAACCAGAGGCCACTCTTTTATGCATATATATTTTTTAAATGGTTATTTTGTTTTTGAGAGAGAGAGAGACAGAGAAAGAGAGAGAGAGAGAGAGAGAGAGCAGGGAAGGGGCAGAGAGAGAGGGAGACACAGAATCGGAAGCAGGCTCCAGGCTCCCAACTGTCAGCACAGAGCCTGCTGCGGGGCTCCAACTCATGCACAGCGAGATCATGACCTGAGCCGAAGTCAGATGCTTAACCAATAGCCACCTAGGGGCCCCCAAAAGGCCACTCTTAAAGAGCCCTGGTATAACTAAGGAACACATTCACTTCAGATTTATATTAGCCATAATGAGACACGTGAGAGAAATACAGGGGTGTTTCCATGAGGAGATATTTGGAAGGCAAAGCTCTGGTTCATAATGTACAGCCAGTGGTGGAGGCTGTAAGGAGAAGGAGGCAGTGTATCTTTTCCTGAAGCTTCCTTTGTGAGGATCAAAGCCTGGCCCAACTGAGTGGGGCTCCATACCCAGGGTTCTCGTGGCCGGGACCCCTAGGAGTGGATTCTCTACACCGAGAACGAGAGGGGCCCAAGCGTGCTTGGATCTGCGTAGGTGAATAACCTAGGAGCGGGGCCCACCTTGCTAAGAGGGAAGGACGAAGCTGGGAGACAAGGAGGTGCCTCTCCCAGGACCAACGTTCCTCTGTCACCTACAGATGCCTCTGCTTGTAAGAAACTTCCGGCCACAGGGGTGCCTGAGTGGCTCAGTCAGTTAAGCATCCGACTTCAGCTCAGGTCATGATCCTATGGTTGGTGAGTTTGAGCCCTGTACTGGGCTCTCTGCTGTTGGCATGGAGCCCACTTTGGATCCTCTGTCCTCCCCTCTCTCTGCCCCTCCCCCACCTGCATGCACACTCTCTCTTTCTCAAAAACAAATAAAAGTTAAAAAAAAAAAGGAAATTTCTGACCCACAAAGATGGCTCTTGCATTACTTCCCCTTCTGTTATTGAATGTAGGCATTCATTTAACAAACCTTTCTTGAGTGCCTTGCTGTGTGCTACGTACCGTTCTAGGGGCTGGGAGACTCTGAAGAACAAAATAAACAAGGTCCCTGACCTTATGGAATTTACATCCCAGTAGAGAAGACAGACAAGAAACAAGTAATACAGAATATAATTTCAGGCGGCACTGAGTGCTATAAAGATGTTAATAAAGGGTCATGTGATGGAGAGAGACAGGAGGCTCTAACCAGGAGGGTCATGGGGGTCCTCTCTGGGAGGTGATGGTTGAGCTAGCCTGAATGCTACAAAGGAGTCAACCGTGCAACCTGTGGGGATAGAGCCCTCCAGGCAAAGGGCGCAGCAGGTGCAAAGATCCTGAGACTGAAAGGGGCTGGGTGTGTTGGGGGATCCGCAAGCAGGCTAGTGAGGTCGCAGCAGAGGGAGTGAGACGGAGGGAGCCAGAATCGATGGTCCCGGGGGGCCTGGGGGTGGGGCCACATCCCATGAGGCCCAGGGTAAGGAGCTGGGAATTTGCTCTGAGTGTGATGGCAAGCCCCTGGGGTGGGGGGAGGTTGAGCAGGGGGCTGATGTGGCCAATGTGGCCACTGTGTGGAGAATAAGAAGGCAAAAATGGACGGAGGGAGACCCGTTGGGTCATTGCAGTAACGCGGCAACAAGCTAACGGCGGTTCAGCCGAGGCAAGAAATGGTTGGATTACAGAAATACATAGAGGGACTCACAGGATTCACTGTCAGATCAGATGTGGCATACGACGGAAAGAGGAATCAGGGGCTTCTAGATTTCAGTCTGTGCATTTGGTTAGTGGCATTTTCTGAGATGGGGAAAACGGGTGGGAGAGGAGTGAGTAGGAGTGAAAGGTTGGAGACGTTCGCTAGGCAGTTGGTTATGAGAATATGGAGTGCAGGGAAGACATCCGGTCTAGAGGTAGAAACTTTGGAGTCCAGTAGATGGTACTTCAACTCGGAACGAGATCACTTAGGAGATGGTAGCCACTAGTCACATGTGACCCTTGAGCACCTGAAATTGGCCAGCTCGAATTGAGATGTGCTGTACATATCAAATGCAAGCCACATTTCAGACTTTGCATGAAAAAGAAAGAACGTAAAACATCCGATTGACATTAGTTTTATAACAATTACATGTGGAGCTGCTAATATTCTGGCTCTATTGAGTTAAATAAAATATGATAGTGTTTGGGTTCTATTGAGTCAAAACTTCAATGTGGCTCCTGGAAGTTGGGACGTTACAGATGTGGTGGGGGGCACCTGGGTGGCTCAGTTGGTTGAGCGTCCGACTTTGGCTCAGGTCATGATTTCGAGCCCCACATCAGGCTGTCTGCTGTCAGCACAGAGCCCTCTTTGAATCCTCTGTCCCCCTCTCTCTGCCCCTTCCCCGCTTTAGCTCTCGCCAAATAAATAAATATTTTTAAAAAGCCCATCTGTGGCTTGCAATTGTGGCTCACGTTAGTGTTTCTATTTAATGGCACTGGTCTAGGGAATGATTGTAGATAAAGAGGGCCAAGGACAAGAGCTTGGGGGAGAGGAAAAAGATCCAGCAAAGGAGATTGAGGACAGCCAATGAGGTAGGAGGAAAATTTGGGGAGTGCGATGTTCAGAAAGGCGAAGCGATAACATTATACAAAAAGTAGGAGTGTCCAATGTTGCAACTGATGGTTGCATTTAGCCCGAGTAGTTTTTGGTAGAGTGGTTTGAAAGCAGATCGGGTTGGAAGCCTGAGAAGAGAGGACCCAGGAGGACAAGGAGTGAAGACGTAAGCATAGTAAATATAGATGAGTTAACTCTTTTAAGTTTTGGTTTAAAGAGAGGTAGAGAAATGGGTGGTGAGGGGAAGAGAATTTCTTTAAAAAAACTTTTTTAATGTTTATTTTTGAGAGGGAGAGAGAGAGCTCAAGCAGGGCAGGGGCAAAGAGAGAGGGGGGACAGAAGATCCGAAGTGAGCTCCACATGCTGACAGCAGAGCCCCCTACATGGGGCTCAAACCCATGAACTGCGAGATCCTGCCCTGAGCCGAAGTCGGATGCTTGACCGGCTGAGCCACCCAGGCGTCCCAGGGAAGAGAATTTCAAATCAAGAGGAGCCATGTGTGTTTTGCTGTGGTTGGTGGATGGGTGTGTTTGGACAGGGAGACAGTTCAGCTGATGGCGGTGCTGTCTTCAAACCCGTGGGATTTGCTTAGGAAAATACACCAGAAAGAACCGGACACAGCTTCAACTCAGGAGTTAGATAAATCGAGTGATTCTATCAGTGCTCTAAGGGATTCAGATGCTGCCAAGATGCCCTCTTTCTTTATTCTCTCTTGGCTTTTGTATTTTTTCTCTTTTGCTGTTGGTGCTTTTTTTCTACCCCAACAGTGTTGGGTTAAGCACAATCCTAGCCTACTGTGGCCCGGTAGTTTGGAAAACAGGCTCCTTTTTTCCACAGACTTCTCCAAAGCCTGGAGATAATTTATTTCCCCAGTGTCTAAATGCCTTCCTTAGTGGAGGGGCGGGGGGGGGGGGCGCCTGCCATGTTTATTAAGAGGGCCCAGGAACTCACCCATGATCTGAATTGCTCCTGGCCTGAGGAATTCTTGCGTCCTCGCTCGGAATATCTGAGGGGACTCTGAATTTCTTCACCGTCGCTCCTCCCATATCTCCAGGGGGAACCTGTGTGTGTGTGTGTGTGTGTGTGTGTGTGTGTGTGATAATTAGTGAGCATTGTATGGGCTTGGGATTAAGTCGTCTTCGGGCAGAATTGTGATATTGGCTCATAGAGTTTGAGTGACTTGAACACAGTCACTACCTTTCAGCCAAAGCCCGACAGGAACACACCTGTCGTTGAACGAGTTCGATTTATTACTCATTGCAGTGAGAGAAAACGCACGCCATGGGAAATCATAGGACTTCTCAGTGAGAGGGTCTGAAGCCATCTTGACACCAGGGCCCTAACAGCCCTCACCGTGGTTTGGAAGCTTTTGCTTTCTAAGGCCTCGGTGTTGCTGATGACCTCTCAGGTTCACCTTAACCTCAGAGCCTATGGGCATCCCTCTCTACTTCTGGAGATGTAACGGGGGGGTTATGGGTGGAGGGCAGGACAGAATGGGCTCTTTCTTTGAATGGTTTAAGGATCTAACTGAGGGATAAGGGATAAGGTAAAATGAGTGTGTCACACACTGGATAGCAGGTGATGATCCTTTGCTTTTTCACTCAATATTTTACTTTAGTGATCCTATTATGGCCGAATCCCTAAGTGAAGCTTCTGGAAGCCTGGAAGTTCTGGAGGCCAGTGATGAGGGTAAGTAGCCCAGTAAAATCTTGCTAACTAGAACTAGCTTTCTTTACTGTGTTGAACTCACCCTAGGGGGAAAAAAATCAAGTCACAGGCAAACAAGTTCATATCAAATTTCTGATAACATTAGACTCAGTTCCCATTTGCTTTGCAGCCTTTTTACCTCTTCTCTTTCGTGTCCAGCTCTGGTATCAGAAGGCTTGTCTGAGGTCCTGCAATCCTCTGTGGGGATAGTTCCCGGATTCTACTTACTAAGGCAGGAGAAATATTTCTGCTTAATCAGGAAAAAAAAAAAATCGGAGCCAACCATGATCTGAGAGATTCAACTGAAGTTTTACTGTAGATAGTATTCCAGATTTAACCAACAGATAAATTTGTAATTTGAGGAGTAAAGAAGAGAATACAGACAAAAGATGCCACCACAGGCTTCTATTGAATAGGACTCCATTTACAAAACTTCTTTTTTTAAAACTTACTAGGATGTACATCCATTCCCTAAACTGTGGGGCCACCTACGAGTGATACGTGACCATGGGTGAATATCACGTAAAGGAGGCAAAGGTCACTAAATGATGAGCTTCACTGACACCCCCCCACCAACACACAAAGGAACCATCAGACATTGAATCTAAAGACAGAACTAAATGTAACAGTTCATTGGGTTGTTTTTCAATTTTTGTTGAGTGTTTTTAGTAGTTGTGGAATGTGGAAGGCTTGGTCTGGAAGAACAGAACGGAGCCCAGTTGTGGCTTTCTCGGGGGCCTGATTTCACGGATGACTTGGAGTGGGGTCTTCGTTTCTGTGTCACTGTTGTTTAGTGGCGGGTCTCAGAGAGAGTAATTAGATACCCCCAAATATTCGATCGATGAATGGATAAATAAATGATTGATAGGCTTCTTCACCAAGACAGCCCCAACGACCAAACCAACTGACCTATCTCTTTGGATATGAGTTAGACGCATGCCTACCGAAGAAGGTGGCAGTGTGGTTCATCTTGATGAGGACTGGAGGTAAGGAATTACCTTTTCTCTGTTCCCAAGATTTTATTGTTTAAACGACCGAACATTTGGGTATGTTTTTTAGAACTGGTCATTGCTAGCCAGAGAATGACATGGCTGTGTGGAGGTTGATGGAAAGAAAGGCTAGTTACAAATGTTTTCTTTCTAGGCAGCAATGCAAGAGAACAAGGTCACCACTGTGCGATGCATTATTTATTTATTTATTTATTTATTTATTTATTTATTTATTTATTTAACGTTTAGTTATTTTTGAGAGAGAGAGAGAGAGAGAGACAGAGCATGAGCAGGGGAAGATCAGAGAGAGAGGGAGACACAGAATCTGAAGCTGTCAGCACAGAGTCCGACGTGGGGCTTGAACTCACAAACTGTGGGATGATGACCTGAGCCGAAATCGGACGCTCAACTGACTGAACCACCCAGGCACCCCTTATTTTTATTTTTAAGAGAGAGGAAGAGAGACAGAGTGCAAGGGGGGGGGGCAGAGAGAGAGGGAGACACGGAATCCGAAATAGGCTCCAGGCTCTGAGCTGTGAGCACAGTTCTGAACCCACAAACCGTGAGATCAAGACCTGAGCCGAAGTCGGATGCTTAATCAACTGAGCCACCCAGGTGCCCTGCGATGCATTTTTAAAGCCCATTAAGTTCAGCCCAGATGGGCTGCCTGTGTGCGTGGTGGATAAGGAAATCTATAACTCGGAAGCAATGGTTTCTTCATTGAAGTTAATGGTATTTTCCTCTCTGGGGGGCAGCAAAACTGCCTTCCGTGGGCTGTTTTCTGGCATGTGACACACTGGCTGACGATGTTGAAAGCTGCTGGCTCTTTGGGAATCCATGGTCCTTGGGCTCGGACAGGGACATCGACGGCTTTGTTCTGGGAGAAGTGCAGACAGCTGTTGGCCGGCAGCTCACTGACCACCACTGGTGGGCCCTGTGGGGGCATGAGCTACCCACTGTAGGGGGCCCTGTGGAAACATTGCTGGATACAAATGCAAGTTTTGACCTCTACCTGCTGCCTGGGTCTATCTACCCTTTGTGCTTCAGCAGCTTTTGAAAATGAGCCTGTGCAGGGCTCGAAAGGCCAATTTATGCACTTAGATATAGGGCCACTGTCTCAGATTTCATAGGGTTGCAAAAAAACATAGCACGTGGACAGTTTCTGGGTTTCTATCTGTTTCCCAGGGCTCATCTCCATACATGGGATCTGATGTGGTGGGGGATGGGGAGGTTTCCTAAGCCCAAACAGGCTGAAGACTTGGTCTTGCAGGGGGTATTGGATGTGTGGCAATGGGTTGCTTTGTAAGGCCGTGTCCAGCTTCCAAGTCCCTGCTCTAGGTCAGTGAGCCACCCCCCCCCATGCATGGCAGTTAGCATCTCTTGGTGCCCCCCCCCCCCCAGCTCTACCAACAAAGCTCTACCACCGCCCTTACTCAGAGCTACCCCACAGGGAGGAATGGAAACATTATTTTCTCTCTAGTACCCGTGGTTGAAAAGAGACGCACATTACTTAAGGTGTTTTGGATCGTCATGGGAAAATAAGTTGTCGTTTTTGCCTGGCAAAAATGGAAAACTGGGGAGAGATTGAAACACATGCATAATTAAATTCTAGCACCAGTTATAGTTCTAAAGTCACTAGACACGCTAATATAGGGGCACAAAAATGTGTTAGTACATCGTTTCGTCCACCCATACAATGATTGTGCCTGGTACATTCAGTTTGGTAGCCTGAAGGCTTTATAGAAGTGTTTTTATTCAATTATTAAGTGTTTCTAGATTGTGGCACAAGTGGAGCTACCAGCCGCCGATTCCTCCTGTCTTTGCTGGCTTATGAAAAGCAGGTTTGCTCTCTTCCCTTCTATTCTGGGATTTTGAAGCGAGAGGGGCAAAATTCACCATGTTTCTAAATACTCTGAGCATAAGGTTGTTCCTCTTTCAGAAAGGCCAGAAGGAGACCGCCGGGCAAGAATCAATTAATCTTATCCCTTCTGAGTGATAAAGGGCAGCGCCTGCAAAGGCTGAAAGGATAGTGGTGTGCTCCTTCCCACTTGGAGGGGACACTGGCCTGTCTGCCCTCACTGGGCAGCAATTATTTAGCCAGTTGGGGCCGGCTCACTCTGGCTCGGGAGACTGTGCACATCTCTTCCCAGATGGTGTGTGGTGCTTCCCCTTGACCGCAGTGTGAGTATTTATAGCAGAGCAATGGGCAGATGCCACAGATAAGGGCATTCCCCGCCCTCCCGGCCCCCAGATCCAGTTGGTAAACCTTTTCCAGCAAAGAACTGATTATAGGAATTCATGTAATGTAGTAATAAGGATTTTACATACAAATTTCACTATTGGATAGATTTTAGAAAACATATGGGGGTGGGGAGATTAAGAGAGGAGGCCAGAGGACAAGCTATTGATCATTTTCGAGCCAGCATCCTCTGTATGGTATGCTCTTCAGCACCCTCGCATTGAACGTTCAATGAGGCCAAGCAACATCGAAAAGAATTCATTACTTAATAGTTATTAAGTAATTTATTATAGAAATTAGTTTAATTGTTTCCGGAAAACTATACAGAAGGAATTTTTAGGTAGATTTGCCAAGGCTGTCCCAGCCGTGACCCTATTTAGGTACATCCTGCTAGATGAGAAATTGCCGGAGCTATCCTAAATTGCAATTACTTAAGCACTGATCATCAAGCGAACAGTCCTATAGTCTTGCATACTGCCAAATCCCATGCTGGCGTCAACTTCTAATCATGCATATCATACAGTTCACTACTGAGTGATCATTACGTAAAAAGAAACTTTTTTAAAAAAAGAAACAAGTAATTATTGATTCCCTAGCACTAGCTCATATTTATTAGCACTGGCGACATGCCAGATCCTATGCGAAGCTCTTTACCTACATTCTTTACAATTTATATCAACCCCGGCAAGGGCCAGTGTTTAAATTACAGGATGCTTAAGGATGACTCTGCTCGGTGATCTCAGTTTAAGGGAAGTGACAAGCTGTACTGGTACTTTGCACCCCTCAATGGACTCAATTGTCCCTTGGGTGCTACGGCATGCCTTGTGGTGCACTGGTTGCTCAAGAAGATGCTAAAGAGGGCCAGCCTTCAGCCTTGATATGGGGGACGGTAGCTATGACACAGAACTATATCTCATTCCTTTCTCATTGATACCCAAAGCGTAGTGAGTGTTTGGTATTAAATATTTGCTGGATGGATGGATGGGTGGGTGGATGGATGGATGGATGGATGGATGGATGAGTAGATGAGAGAGCATTCAGATGTAAAACTTGGAGAGCCAACTGTCAAGTTTTAGGTGTGCAGAGAGAAGGGTTAATCGTCGTGATTGGTGGGACACTGGACTTAAGGCACGCCTTGAAGTTTAGAAACCTTTCTAATAGGTGGGCTTAGGAGTAATCAGTATGCACATAGGCCATAGGATTTCAGAGCTAGAAGGAACCCTAGCTCAGCATTTCCCAAAGTGTATTTTGCCTGACATGCTGCTTCTTTGCACTTGGGAGACAATGCTGTTGCCCAGTATCTTTGAGCTTCCCCGTACACACAGGCACGTTGAAGTTCCAGAAAAGTCTTGTTGGAAAGCGGAGCCCTAAACCTCATCTAACCCAGCATTTCCCAGAACAACTGGAGCGCAGAGCCCTTTCTCATGCAATAGACATACAGCAGCCCTCTGAACACATGCTGATTAGTGTGACCCCTTCTTTTCCCTGTTGAGTTCCAGAGAGGCTGAATGACTTATGTGAAGTCACAGAGCTAATTGATAGCTGAGCCAAGCCGAGGATTCCAGAGTGTTCTGGCTCTTGGGTGGTACTTTCCATTACACCACTAAGCCTTTCTAATGGAGGCCCCATTGACCCCTCCCCCAGCCCCACCCCTTGCCCAGGCCCTTTCCTGCCAGCCCAGCATTGCTATGCTAGTGATAGGCTTTCCGGACACCAGATTGTCCCGAACTGGGATAAGACAGCTAAGCTGGTGAATGATTGCATGTGAAAGTAGTAAGAGCTGATTCCTTCCCCCTGAAGATTGCAGCACGGACTCGCCTGCCCTTGCCCGTCTTCCCCTGAGCCTCAATAAAGACTCATATGCTTCTTAGGAAACTAACAAGAGCCTAAATAGAGCCGTAGGAGCATCTAAAGCTCCCATTCCTCGCGGCTGCCCTGATAGTTATTGTAGACCCAGCAAACTTTCAATTATTTGCGTGTGCGGAAGGCAGTAGCCCTGTCGATAATGCAAACAAACTGGCAGTAATTGAAGAACCCACACAATGCACGTAACACATGCACGCACACACACAGGTACACACGCACGTACACACGCACACACACACTCCTTGCAAAACGCTTTGGTAGCTGATCCTGTCATGCCTTTTGCACAGGCAGCTCCTCTCCCCGGCGGCCCTTTCTTCCCAATTCCCAGCCCTCCTCCTAGTTCACAGCCCACCCCCTTGAGGACCGCCCCCCGGACTGCACCGCCCTAGAGGGGCGCTCACCCCATGGGGCTGCACCCTTTCACACACAAGCTAGGGCAGAACCAGCCCCCCCCCCCCCGCCAGGGACTCCAGGGGGGCTCCTTTGAAGTGTTTTTTTCACATGCGGAAGCCTGACTCCCCAACTGGATTGCCATGATTCCAGCCACTAGGGTGAAGTCACAGGACGCCCAGTGCTTATTATTATTATCATGATTGGCTCAGAATTGCTGCGTACGAATGAACGTCTTAGGCAGTGAAGAGGTGTGTGCTGGTGGTTGAGATGGAGAGGCGGGCTGATGCCCGGCGAGGTGCGCCTGCCCAACGACCGCTAGCTGGGGCCTGAGCTTCTGTGCTCCCCAGAGACTCAGATGCTTCCTTATCCTGAGCTGTGAGCAAGAGAACAGGCCAAGTGAATGGTGCCCGGAATGGGGGGGGGGGCACTGAGGGTGAGGGCCGAGATCTGCGGGGCACCTGGGACCCCAGTCCTTGTTCCTGTCACAGACCCTGTTTCCTCCCCTGTTCTTCCCCCACACCGTCACACTCTGCCTGACTTGCCTTCCTGCCTTCCAGGAAAGAAGAAATCCAAATTTAGGGCCTTCAGGAGCTTTTTTGGCAAGAAGAAGAAAAAAGGGCCTGAGGATCCCCAGGAAGGGAGGAAGCTAAAACCAAGCCTGTCCAGCTGCAACATTCACATCTCTGCCCTGAAGCCAGTTCAGGAAGGTCAGCCAGCTGAGTCTAGGTAAGCTGGAAGGGGCGGGGGGAAGGGAGCTGAGGCCACGGCCAATGGCCAACGCAGCCATGTTGGGGGCGGGGGCGGGCCCCTCCCCGGGCCCCCTCCCTCCGTGTTCAGGTGTATGCTGGCTGCCCCGGGTTGCGGCTCGGTAGGTCGGCTCAGGCACACCCCCTACCCCAAGAGCACCGGGTACGGGTAGACCAGGACAACGTTTCCCGGGCTGCGGATCTGTGATTGGCCGGTGGGCGGAGCTACATCTCTAAGGCGTGGTTAAAATCTCAGGGAGTGCACTCATGAAATCACTGTGTTGCTGTAAAAACGAACAAAGAAACAAGCAGGCAAGCAAGGAACCCAAATCCATTGCTCCCTCCATCCCGGGAGACTGGGGGGGGTGCTCTAACTGCGGTCACAGATTGCGGAAGACTTTCTCAGCCACCGCTCATCACCTTTTCATCTGTGACGCCCCCACTTCCGCATCTGAACCGCCTCCCCTCCCAGCTGTCCTGGGATCAATGGGATCCCCCTCTGGGGAGTTCCACTCAGGCCTGTTCCTGTGGCCTTAAAACTCCAGACTCAGAGCGCCTGGGGGGCTCAGTTGGTTAAGCGTCCAGCTCTTGACTCCAGCTCAGGTCCTGTCCTCACGATTCGTGGGTTGGAGCCCCGCATCAGGCTCTGCGCTGGCAACGCAGAGCCAGAGCCTGCTTGGGATCCTATTTCTCTCCCTCCCTCTCTGACCCTCCCCCACCCTTTTCTCTTTATCTCTCAAAATAAATAAATAAGCAAAAAACAAAAAAAACAAAAAAAACCCAAACCCTCCAGACCTATCTGGACTCCTCACAGAGCTGTGCTGTTACCCATCCCTTTAAGGCTAGAAAGACCTTCATGAGGGCATTGAACGTGAGGAATTTCAGACAGCTTTGCTAGTGGGGCTGGTGGTTTGGGGCAGATGGGCTTGTTTCATAGCTCACAGATCATAGCATTATAGACCATTGCCTTATAGCTCTAAGTGAGGCTAAGACTAGCCCTTCTAGAAACCAGAGGGTGGCGGGGGTGTGGGGTGAGAGGGGAGTTTGGGGTTACTCTACGGTGTCTCTGCAAATTGGCAAAGGCCCACTCCACTGAAGTTCTAAGGACCTGAAATAGGTCCCTCTCCCCTTTTTTTTGGGCAGGGAGCATAATAATTAAGAGTATAACGTAGGAAGTGTGACCCCAGTCTCTTGCTTAACACGTGAGGAGAGAAACGCTGGAGAATATCACCCAGGAGTTAGGAAGAAAGATCAGCCTTTTCCATCCATTGAAGCTGTCAATAGAGCAAAAACTTAACAGCCTGCCGTCCCCAGGCTGATACAATAGGGCCAGTGTCTGTTTCTGAGACTGTGTCACGCCGTATCTGATAAAATGGACAAATCCCAGGCCCCCATTTGTTTTTTTTAACAGCTACTGATGTCATGTGCTTTATTGCCTCTAATTAAGGCCAAGATTTTGTTTGGAGTTTTGGATTTTTTTTTTTTCCCCCTCTGGGAAGCAGATCAGTAAGCATCTGCTCTGTTCAGCGGACCAGAGGTCTGGTTTCTAATAAACATGGCCGTGGTTAGCTACTATAATTCTTTGATCGGGGGTGGGGGGGGCGTGGGGGGGGGGTTGGTGCTAGAGAGCCAGTTCAACAGCCGCACCTGGCTGATGCCCCGCCTGGAAATGACAATTTCTGAGCCCACCCATGGCCCAAGATTCCCTTGCAGTTTCTCTGCACAAAGCAGGGGAGGAAGGGTAGTCACGGACACCATACTGGTTCCCGAGGCTGATTTGAGCTGGCAGGTCACAGAGAAACCATGAATGCAAGTGTGTGGAGACAGTTATCTCAATGCCGCACCAGTCCTATGTAGTCAGTAAGCATTTATCTGGAGTCATGTTAATTGTCAGCGGGACTGCCATTTTAATAGCACAGGGCATGTTCCCTTCCCCACAAGGGCTGCCCAGGTGGCAGAGTTTTGTAATGAAGTGGGTGGTACGAAGGCATCTGCCTCCTCTCCTCTTGCTGGCCCACGAGCCACTTCAGTGTGGTGTCCCTCTGATCCCTGTAACACCCGATTGTCCTCGGAGTGTGTCGTGATCAAATATACCCACGTGTGCGTCCCACGGTCAGGCTCACAGTGATGGCAGTGATGGCGTGGGTGCTGGTCTCACAGTGCCTGAGTTGCGAATCTAGTTACCATTTAAATATTGTTTTTTTTAATGTTTTGTTTTTATTTTAGAGAAAGAGAGAGAGACAGAGTACGAGTGGGGGAGAGGCAGAGAGAGAGAGGGAGACACAGAATCCGAAGCAGGTTCCAGGCTCTGAGCTGTCAGCACAGAGCCCGATGCGGGGCTCGATCCTACGAGCTGCGAGACCATGACCTGAGCCGAAGTCGGACGCTCAACCAACTGAGCCACCCAGGCGCCCCTAAAGATTGTTTTTTAAAGTGCCATCTTACACGTATTATAGTAAATGTTTTGTAGTAAGTGCAAAAAAAGTATATGACATTTCAAAAAATTATTTTATCTAATTAAAAAAATTTCCACCCCTCCCTAAAAGAAACCCTGTACCCATAAGCAATCAGTCCCCATTCCTCCTGATCCCCACTCCAGCCCTAGGCGACCAGTTATCTACTTCCTGTCTCTATCAGTTTGCTTATTCTGGACACTTCCTATAAATGGTATCATGCAGTATGTGACCTCTTGTGACTGGCTTGTTTCCCTTAGCGTGTGTCCCAGGGTCACCCATGTTGTGGCACGAATCCAATACTTGATTCCCTTGTACTGCTGAATAGCATTCCAATGCATGGATATGCCACATTTTATCGGTTCCTCAGTTGACAGATATTTGGGTTGTTTCCACCCTTTGGCTCTCATGAAGAATGCTGCTATAAACACTTGTGTACACGTTTTTGGCTGACTATATGTTTTTATTTCTGTTGGGTATATACTTAGGAGTGTGCATTTCCTGAGTCACATGGTACTTTGATGTTTAAATCTCTGAGGAACCACCAGACGGTGTAGGGGTTCCAATTTCTCCACAACCTTGCCAACACTTGCTATTATTTGAGTGTTGTTGTTTATATATATATATATATATATTTGAGAGAGAGAGATAGAATCTTAAGCAAGCCCACATTGGGCTCCATGCTGACAGTGCAGAGCCTGCTTGGGATTCTCTCTCTCCCTCTCTCTCTGCCCCCCCCAACTCTCTCTCTCTCTCTCTCTTTCTCTAAATAAATAAAGGAATCAATGAATAAACTTTAACAACAAGAACAACAAAGAAGGGGCAAGAGCAGACATCTTTGTCTTCTTCCGGATCTGAGGGAGAAAGTATTCAGTCTTTCATCATTAAGTGTGACATTAGCTGAGAGATTCTCACAGCTGTCCTCTGTCAGGGTTGAATGTATTTATCATAAGTGCATTTATTATGTATTTGGATTTTATAAATGCTTTTGCCATATCTACTGAAATGACCACAGGTTTTCATTTTTATTCTATCGATACGGTGTATTGCATTAATTGATTTTCACATATTAAGATAACTTTCCATTTCTTACAAGTTCTACTTGGTAATAGTGTATAATTCTTTATGTTGTTGGGTTCAGACTACTAGTATTTTAGTGAAGAGTTTTACATCTCTATTCCTAAGAGATATTAGTCTGTAGTTTTCTTTTCTTGTGATGTCTTTGGTTGAAAGTTTTAAAAGGCAAAATATATTCCCACATTCCAAAAAGCGTCTTTTGTGCCTTTAGCCTTCCATTTGTTTCTAACTTTTCTCTGATTTGTCTTAGCACTTAATTGCCATCAAGCTGGCTTAATTCCCAAACAGAAGGTATTTCTTTCTGGGTTTAGCAATCTGGGGGTGACCATGGGGTGTCTCCAGTATCTGGGCAGATAGTTGATATTTTAAATCAAAACAAAAACACTAGAGAGAAATTTGGGTGTGAAAGATCTTTTATAACTCTCGTTTTAATAACAGCAAGACTCAGGGTCGGCTGGGTGGCTCGGTCGGTTGAGTATCTGACTCTTGATTCTGGCTCACGTCACGATCTCACGGCTCCTGGGATCGAGCCCCATGTCCATCGGGCTTCACACTCAGCATGGGGCCTGCTTGAGATTTTCTCTTTCCCTCTCTCTCTCTCTCTCTCAAAATAAATAAGTAAACATTTTTTAAAAATAACAACAAGGCTCAAGGTCTTTTCTGCCATTCCACAGGGCTGCCACTATTGAACTGTACACGTTAAATGCGTGAGTTGTGTGGTATGTAAACCATATCTCAAAACTGTTATGTAAAAAAGATATGTGTTGCTAATTCAAAAAATCAAAATCTTTGGTGGATCTCCTCCAACTTTTTTCTATGATCATAAACTATATAGGTATGTGATATAGGCATATCTATTAAATGGGACCCTCCTCTTCTTTATTTTTTCACTTACTATCTTGTGGAACACTTTCTATGCCAGCACATGTGCATCCTTCCTTGCCCTCTTTCCGAGATGTCTATGATATGTCGTATTATGGATATATCCATATCTTCACTTCCCATGGCCCTTGCTTTTACAAGACCCTTTTCTTCCTATTCAGGGTCAAGAGCAACATGGGGAGCAAAGCCCTGTCCCATGACAGCATCTTCATTTTGGATCCTGAGCCTGAACATAAAATCTACCCGTCTCCAGAGCTCCCGAGAGGCAGACCTCTGCAGGTAACAGTGAACTCAAGCCTCAGTGCCTGATTAGACTGCTCCTCTTCCATTCCCTACTCCTACTCTGCCGAGAAACAAGGAGGGGAGGTGGGGGAATCTGGCCTTGCTTCTCAGCTGATTCTACCCCTCAGAGCTATTGTAAAGAACGGAGAATGTGCAAATATGTGATGTGCTTACCTTGTGCCCAGCCCACAGCGTTATCTGGCATTACCAAATTCACTTCTCTTGACACACCTCAAGAATGCTTAAAGTATATTATAGTCACGTTCCACTCTTTAATATGCAGGCATTCCAACCGCTGTATTTTTTCTTTCTTCTACAGAGATCTTATGTTTCCAGAACTCTGCCTAGAACCAGGACTCACAGTCGGCATGGAGCTGTTTCTGGAATTGTGTTTGGAACTATGCTCCCATATGTACCCAGAAGTGCAATTTGGGCTGAGGAATACAAGACCACTGAGGTAACAGAGTGAAATTGTTCAGAGGCTGGCAGCCAAGTCAAACAGACAGACCTATGCTTAAATTCTCGCTCTGCTACGTACTGGCTCTGTGATCTTGGGCTGATGGCTCGGCCAAAACGAATTATGCTCGCAAAGCAAGGTTTTACTCTATGTGTGACAAAGTGCCACAGGGTTATCACTCATATTCAGAAAGGGGAAATCTGTTTCCTGGACACCTCTTCTCTCGGACCCAACAACAGAGAGATTCTGATAACAGAGACACGCCATTTCTCTAAAAAGAGGATTTGGACAGGGCGGGAGTGGTGGTGGAAATTAAAGATAAAGATTCTAGAGGCATTTCGTCTCACAATGAAGGGGGTAAGGAAAGCCACAATGACCCAAAAGCAAGTTTGCTTAAATGGCTGGTGTGGGCCCACTCCTCACATCTTTGGCCTACTTTCTTAGTCCCTCTTCTGGGAAACAGGGCTGAAGGCAGGATGGGGGTATCAACAGAACCTGAGCCATCAACCACCAGTTGGACCTCCTCATGGGAAACTTCCCTTAGGTGCCAAGGTGACAACCCTAAATGACAGGGTGGTTGATAGCATTAAGTAGAGGTTCCTGACACCCAGTGCTGCATAGAAGCTGGGCAACCATGGAGTTGGCCGATGGCTGGGTCCCTTGAAGGGGCAGGATTCCTGATGGATTAAGTGACATTTAGATCAACTGGGAGACTGTGGGAGATGAGCTCCCAGTGTACAGATCTGCTGGAAATACCAAGACCTAACCAGTGTTTATCCCCTGCCAGGTTTTCACCTGCTGTCTTATCAGAAGTATTAGGAACATGGGTGCCTAGATTATTCTCCAAGACATTTCATGGTCTCTTTGAGGACAAATCAATAAGATGATGTAATAGCAAGATTATTAGCATCTTCTTGTGGAATCAAACTGAATTCGGTCATTTAAGAAACTGGGGCAGCAAAGCAGTTTCTCTTACTGCTCATGGGCCGGCCTCTCCCTTTGTAGCCCTTCATGAGGAAGGAGGCACACCATCTCTTCCGGTTGTTGCCCTTAGACGCCTTGAACTTGAGTATGAGACATCTCTTTCCGGCCGCTTACGGTTAGGAGATAGGCGTGCACAGCGGTTAAGAACATAGGCTATAAAGGCAAGCAGAGCTTTCAAGTGCCTGCTGTGCCACCGTGAGAATTAGGGCCAGTCATGTCATCTCTCAGACCCGGTTTTCCCCCTCTGTAAAACGGGGACCACAAGAGCAGATGCTTCAAGGAAGTGTTGTAAGGTTCAAATGAAATCTATCTATAGAGAGCACTCCCTCCCTGTCAGGGAGAAAGACCTCAGATCAATAACCTAACTCACCACCTGAAGGAACTGGAAAGAGAAGCACAAAGTAAACCCAAAGCTAACAAAAGGAAGGAAATAACAAATATTAAAGCAGCATAAAGACCTCCATAAAAGTTAGCGGTCATTATTGTAGTTATTATTATTAGAATTGGACTCAGATGGTGAATCTCTGAGGTTCTTCTCAAGAGCCCCCAGTAGCACCTGTAGTAAGGAGGCACCTTAGACACTGGCCAGGAGTACTCCAGTGGCAGAACCTTGGAAAAATCCTCATTGGGGCCCCTTTTCTTTGGCTTTGAGAGTTTGAAGGCCATCTGTCCTGAACAGCAACAGAGCTTACGACAGAAGGAAGCATGTCAGCTCGGTGACCAGCAAAACTTTTGTTTTATTCATTGTTATGGGCTTAATGCTTAGATTGGGGCATGACACACTGTAGATGCTTAGCCAGTATTTGTCAAAGATAAAATCAGGGATTCAGATTCACATCAAAATGACCATGGCAGGGACCAGTGCCTCAGATTCAAGTGTATCATGAGCTTCAGATTGGAATCGACTAAGTTAGTCTGCTGAAGCCCAAGGAAAACCCAAACAGTCCATTTTATCCCCTTAGGAAAACTAGTAAAGCTGTTCTCACCAGAGCTAGTTCTGCAGATTTTCTAAGAATTCTAGAAAAATCATTCTTGACAGGATTAAGATAAACAACCAACACAGTCAAGATTTGATCCAGGCAATTCCTGGAATGATAAGAGCAAGTCTTTTAGTTTGGATGCCAAGCCTAGGTCCTAACCCCAAAACGCACCTCCGCAAGAACTGGCCGTCCAAAGATAGGGCCAAAATCAAAACAAAGATGAGACTCAAATAAGATTTATAGTTAGCATCAGTAGAGAGAGAACACCAGAATTCTGCTCTTATTATTTTTTTTTTTTAGTAAAACAAGATGCCAGATTTTATAATTATTAAAGTTAAGAACGAAACAAGATTCTTTGGATCGGGACTTTTACAAGGTAGATGACATGAAATATGTCAAAATGCTACAGTGCCTGCAGGATTGGTTTGTTTTTTCCCTTTACATTTCAGTCTTTCCAAACCTTCATTAATAATCATGCATTGTTGGGGCACCTGGGTGGCTCAGTTGGTTAAGTGTTTGACTCTTTTTATGGGGGGAGGAGATAGAATTTAGTGACTTATCACTTACATATAACACCCAGTGCTCATCCCAACAAGTGCCTCCCTTGATGCCCATCACCCATTTAGCCCATCCCCCCACCCACCTCCCCTCCAGTAAACCTCAGTTTGTTCTCTGTATTTAAGAGTCTCTTATGGTTTGCCTCTCTCTCCTTATCTTATTTTTCCTTCCCTTCCCCTCTGTTCATCTGTTTTGTTTCATAAATTTCACGAATGAGTGAAATCATATGGTATTTGTCTTTCTCTGACTGACTTATTATGCTTAGCATAAAACACTCTAGTTCTATCCATGTTGTTGCAAATGGCAGTATTTCAGCCTTTTTGATTGAGTAATATTCCATTGCATATATATACCACATCTTCTTTATCTATTTGTCAGTAGATAGACATTTGGGCTCTTTCCATAATTTGGCTATTGTTGATAGTCCTGCTATAAACATTGGAGTGCATGAACCCCTTTGGATCAGCGTTTTTGGATAAATACCTAGTAGTGCAATTGCTGGGTCATACGGCAGCTCTAGTTTTAATTTTTTGAGGAACCTCCATACTGTTCTCCAGAGTGGCCGCCCCAGTTTGCATTCCACAGCTTTCTCCCCCAGTTCACCTCTCTGCACCACATACCTACTGAGATCTCTGGTTCAGGTTGTGCAGATTGTTGTGTTAATCTTCGAATCAGTTTTCTAGGTGTGCAGGATGGTTTAGTGTTGATTTGACTGTATTTCAGAATGGGAGATGAGATGAGAGGGGGATGAGAGATGCAAAAATAACTTGGATGCTGTTCCACCATCTTGGCCCCTCCCGCACCAGTTTGCATTCCTCCCAGCAGTCCAGCAGCATCCCCATTTCTCCACATCCTCACCAACATCTACTGTTTCCTGAGTTTTTTTATTTTAGCCATTCTGACAGGTGAGAGGTGGTACCTCATTGTGGTTTTGATTTTTATTTCCCTGATGATGAGTGATGTTGAGCATCATTTCATGTGTCAGTTGGCCATCTGGATGTCTTCTTTGGAAATGTGTCTGTTCATGTCTTTTGCACATTTCTTCACTGGATTATTTGTTTTTTGCGTGTTGAGTTTGATAAGTTCTTTATAGATTTTGGATACTAACCCTTTATCAGATATGTCATTTGCAAACATCTTCTCCCATTCCGTCAGTTGCCTTTTAGTTTTGTGGATTGTTTCCTTTGTTGTGCAGAAGCTCTTTATCTTGATGAGGTCCCAATATTTCAGTTTTGCTTTTGTTTCCTTGGCTTCCAGAGACATGTCGAGTAAGAAGTTGCTGTGGCTGAGGTGAAAGGAGTTGTTGCCTGTTTTCTCCTCTAGGATTTTGATGGCTTCCTGTCTCATATTTAGGTCTTTCATCCATTTTGAATTTCTTTTTGTGTGTTGTGTAAGAAAGTGGCCCAGGTTCATTCTTCTGCATGTTGCTGTCCAGTTTTCCCAACACCATTTGCTAAAGAGACTGTCTTTTTTCCATTGGATATTCTTTCTTGCTTAGTCACAGATTAGTTGGCCGTATGTTTGTGGGTCCATTTCTGGGTTCCCTATTCTGTTCCATTGGTTTGCGTGTCTGTTTTTGTGCCAGTACAGTACTGTCTTGATGATTACAGCTTCACAATACAGCTTGACATCCAGGATTGTGATGCCTCCAGCTTTGGTTTTCTTTTGAAACATTACTTTGGCTATTCAGGGTCTTTTCAAGTTCCATATAAATTTTCGAATTGTTTGTTCTAGCTCTGTGAAGAATGCTGGCATTATTTTGATAGTGATTGCATTGAATATGTAGATTACAAGGGGCGCCTGGGTGGCTTAGTCGGTTAAGCATCCGACTTTCGCTTAGGTCATGATCTCGCGGTTCGTGGGTTCGAGCCCCGCGTCAGGCTCTGTGCTGACTGCCAGCTCAGAGCCTGGAGCCTGTTCCAGTCTGTGACTCCCTCTCTCTCTGACCCTCCCCTGCTCACGCTGTCTCTCTCTCTCTCCTAGAAATAAATTAAAAAAAGAAACATTTGAATATGTAGATTACTTTGGGTAGTATCGACATTTTAACAATATTTGTTCTTCTAATCCATCAGCATGGAATGTTTTTCCATTTTTTGTGTCTTCTTCAATTTCTTTCATAAGCTTTCTATAGTTTTCAGTATATAGATATTTTACCTCTTTGGTTAAGTTTATTCCTAGGTATTTTATGGGTTTTGGTGCAATTGTAAATGGGATCGATTCCTTGATTTCTTGTCCTGCTGCTTCATTATTGGTGTATAGAAATGCCACAGGTTTCTGTACATTGACTTTATGTCCTGTGACTCCGCCGAATTCACGTACCAGTTCTAGCAGTGTTTTGGTGTAGTCTTTTGGGTTTTCCATGTAGAGTATCACGTTGTCTGTGAAGAGTGAAAGTGTGACTTCTTCCTTGCTTATTTGAATGCCTTTTATTTCTTTTTGTTGTCTGATTGCTGAGGCTAGGGCTTTCAACACTATGTTGAACAGCAGTGGTGAGAGTGGACATCCCTGTCATGTTCGTGACCTTGGGGGAAAAGCTCTCAGTTTTTCCCCATTGAGGATGATATTAGCTGTGGGTCTTTCATATGCGGTCTTTATGGTGTTGAAGTATGTTCCTTCTATCCCTACTTTCTTGAGGGTTTTTTTTTTTTTAATCAAGAAAGAATGCTGTATTTTGTCAAATGATTTTTCTGCATCTCTTGAGAAGATCAGGTGGTTCTTATCCTTTCTTTTATTAATGTGATGTATCATGTTGATTGATTTGTGGATATTGAACCAGCCCCGCAGCCCAGAATTTTCATTTTGACCAAACAAGCAATTTGAAGTTTCTGTCTTTGTTTGGGGATTGGCAAAAGTGTGCAGCAACCCAGAGTGTGAACCAAAACTATTGGTCTTCGGTTTGCATAGGTACAAGAAGTGAAGACAGTGGGGTGGGAGATTCTTTTCCTGGCTTGTTTTTTCACTTTGGGTTCTTAGCTCTTCAGCCATTAAGCAACAAGAGAACAGTAATTTGGAAGAAAGCACACAGGTTTCAACTTTTCCTTCTATTCTCCTCCTTAACAGAGGTCATCACTGTTCCCACGCCAAAGCAGCATCAGCCCACCTCTTATCCGATCTGACACAATCTGTAAGGACTTTGAAGAAATCTTCGTTGATGAAGAGTCACCTAAGATCTCACCAAAGGAGGTTTCAGAGGAGATCTTGACATTGAAGAAGGTGAGTGTTAGCCCCATCCTAGGACTTGATTGTGGGGCACAGGTTGGAAAAATGAAAAATCATTTGACACATGAGAGGGCATGTAAGTACATTTTATACATCTAGGTTTGTCAATTAAGTAATATCTGTCAACAATTGGAAAATTAGCAGCTTGTACCCATTTCAATACTTCCATTCTCACACTAATGAGTGGTTAATTTAATTGGTTGTCAGTGAACTTGAAAAGACTTTTAAATATATATATATTTTTTAATGTCTATTTATTTATTTTGGGAGAGAGTACAAGAAGGGAAGGGGCAGAGAGAGAGAAGGAGAGAAAGAATCCTAGTCAGGCAGAGCTCGATATGGGACTCAAACGAGCCATGAAATCATAAGCTGAGCCAAAATCGAATGAGACACTTAACCCACTGAGCCACCCAAGTGGCCTAGGACTTTTAAAGTGAAGTAGGGTTTAGAACAATTAACCTTGGGAACTAAAAACAGAAAGGTAATTTATAATGAAGATGATTGACCGGTCAGCACAAAACGGTTTTGATGTTAAAAGATCCAATGGAGGGAAGCAGCCTTCAGTTAAATGTCTCAACAACAACAAAAAAATCCCCAATCAAATTAGGAACAAAATTAAAGCATAGTCAGGTAGTAGGTGGCTATGAGTGCTCACTGACTAATGGATTTATACTATGACTATAAGTATTTTCAGCAGAATACCACTAAATCAGACAAATTAGTCTGAATTGGTGGACGGATTGAATTAGATAACATTTTTATTGTGATCAAATACACGTAACATAAAATTTATCATGTTAGGGGCACCTGGGTGGCTCAGTCAGTTAAGCGTCTGGCTCTTGGTTTCGGCTCAGGTCATGACCGTATGGTTCGTGGGTTCAAGCTCTGTGACAAGCTTTGTGCTGACAGCGCAGAGCCTGCTTGGCAGTCTCTCTCACTCTCTCTCTGCCCCTTCCTCCACCCCTCTCAAAATACATAAATAAACTTTTTAAAAAATGTATCATGTTAAAGCATACAATTCAGTGGCATTAATTCACAGTGCTCTGCACCCATTACTACTATCTAGGTCCCGAATGGTTCTGATTCCCCCAAATCATACTTATTAAACAGTCATTCATCATTCCTCTTTCCTCTCAGTCCCTGGCAACCACCAGTCTGCTTTCTGCCTCTGGATTTGCCTATTCTGGATACTTCATATAAATGTAATCACACAATATATGGCCTTTTGTATATGGGGCTGAATAATAGTTCATTGTATGGACGTACCATGTTTTGTTTAACTCTTCACCCACTGATGGGCATTTGGGTCCCATCTACCTATTGGTGATCGTGAATGGTGCTGCTGTGAGCGTTCATATACAAGTTTGCGTTTGAACACGTTTTCAGTTCTTTTGGGTGTATACCTAGGGGTGAAATTGCTGGATCATGTGGTAATTCTGTATTTAACCTTTTGAGGAGCCGCCGAACTGTTTTTCCCAGCAGCTACACCACTTTACATTCCCACCAGCTATGTATAAGGGTTCTGGTATCCCCACATGCTGTTTGACATTTGTTATTTTCCATTATTTAAAAATTTTTAATGTTTATTTATTTTTGAGAGACACACACAGAGAAATAGAGTATCAGCGGGGGAGGGATAGAGAGGGAGAGGGAGACACAGACTCTGAAGCAGGCTCCGGGCTCTGAACTGTCAGCACAGAGCCCGACGCGGGGCTCAAACTCATGAACCATGAGATCATGACCTGAGGTGAAGTCAGACGCTTGGCTGACTGAGCCACCCAGGCACCCCTGTTATTTTCCATTTTTAAAAAAATAGTCATTCTAGTGGCTGTGAAGTGTATCTCATTGTGGTTTTGATTTGCCTTTCCCTGGTGACTAACAATGTTAAGCATCTTTTCTTGTGCTTATTGGCCATTTATATACCTCCTTTGGAGACATGCCTGTTCAAGTCCTTTGCCCATTTTTTAATTGTATTTTTTGTTTTTTTGTTGTTGAGTTATGAGTTCTTTACATATTTTGGCTACTAGACCCTCTTCAGATATATGATCTGCAAACATTCCCCGCCCCTTCTGTGAGTTGTCTTCTAATTCTATCAGAAGAATAAAATTTTTAAAAATATTTTAATTTTGAGAAAGTCAAATTTATTGATATTTTTTCTTTTCATACTGTGCGTTTGGTGTCATATCTAAGAAGCCATTGCCCAATTTAAGATCGTGAAGATTTACCCCTATGTTTTCTTTGAAGAGTTTTATATTTAGGTCTTTGATCCATTTTGAGTTCATTTTTATATATGGTGTGAGATAGAGCCTAACTTAATTCTTTTTTTAATTTTTTTTAATTTTTTAAATTTATTTCTGAGAGAGAGAGAGAGAGACAACATGAGCAGGGGAGGGTCAGAGAGAGAGGGAGATACATAATCTGAAGCAGGCTCCAGGCTCTGAGCTAGCCGTCAGCACAGAGCCCGGCACAGGGCTTGAAACCATGAACCATGAGATCATGACCTGAGCTGAAGTCGGATGCTTAACCGACTGAGCCACCCAGGCGCCCCTATTGTTTTTTTTTTTTTAATTCAAGTTAGTTAACATGCAGTGTTGTCATGGCATGCATGTGGCCATCCAGTTGTCCCAGAACCATTTGTTGAAAAGACTATTATTGGGGCGCCTGGGTGGCTTAGTCGGTTGAGCGCCTGACTTTCGCTTAGGTCATGATCTCGCGGTTCGTGGGTTCGAGCCCCGCGTCGGGCTCTGTGCTGACTGCCAGCTCAGAGCCTGGAGCTCGTTCCAGTCTGTGACTCCCTCTCTCTCTGACCCTCCCCTGCTCACGCTGTCTCTCTCTCTCTCCTAGAAATAAATAAAACATTAAAAAAAAAAGAAAAAGAAAAGACTATTATTTCCTCCATTTAATGTTCTTGACACCCTTGTTGAAAATCAGTTAACCACAGATGATGTGTATATATATATATTATATATATATACTTATAGATACATAATTTTCTATATATAAGGTCATGTCATTTGTGAATTGAGATAGTTTTACTTCTTCCTTTCCTATTTGCGCTCTCATTGTTTCTTTTCCTTGCCTAATTGGCTAGAATTTCCAGGACAACAAGTGAAAGTGGTAAAAGCGAACATCCTTTTGTTACTCCTGATCTTCCGGGGAAAGATTACAGTTTTTCACCACTGAGTATTATGTCAGCTCTGGATTTTTCATATATGCTTTCTATTCCTAGTTTGTTAGGTGTTTTTAGTATGAAAAAGTGTTGGATTTTGTCAAATGCTTTTCTTTTTTTTAAAAATGGTTTCTTCATTTTTGAGAGAGAGAAAGTGTGTGTGCAGGGGAGGAGTAGACAGAGACGGGAACAGAGGGTCTGAAGCGGGCTCTGTGCTGACAGCAGAGACCTGATATGGGGCTCAGACTCACAAACTGGGAGATCATGACCTGAGCCCAAGTCAGATGCTTAACCCACTGAGCCACCCAGGCACCCCTGTTCAATGCTTTTCTACATCAGTTGAAATGATCATGTTATTTTTTTCCTTCATTCTATTAATATGGTATATTATTACATTGAGTCATTTTCACATGAAACCTCCTTGCAATCCTGGGGTAAATCCCAATTTGTCGTGCTATACAATTGCCTTAATATGCTGTTGGATTTGGTTTGCTAGTATTTTTGCATGCGTATCTATGAGGGATATAGTTCTGTAGTATTTTTTCTTGTGATACCTTGATTTGGCTCTGGAATATTGACACTGCTGGCCTCGTAGAATCAGGAAGTGCTCCCTCTTCTATCTTTTTTTTTTAGTATTTGTTAAGGATTGGTGTTAACTATTTAAAAGTTTGGGGCGCCTGGGTGGCTTAGTCGGTTAAGCGTCCGACTTTCGCTTAGGTCAGGATCTCGCGGTTCGTGGGTTCGAGCCCCGCATCGGGCTCTGTGCTGACTGTCAGCTCAGAGCCTGGAGCCTGTTTCAGAGTCTGTGTCTCCCTCTCTCTCTGACCCTCCCTTGCTCATACTCTCTGTCTCTCTCTCTCTCTCAAAAATAAATAAAAAAAAAAAATTTAAAAGTTTGGTAAAATTCACCAGTGAAGCCATCTAGTCCTGGGTTTTTTTGTTATTGTTGGGAAGTTTTAGTTACTGATTCAGTATCTTTACTTGTTATGGGTCAATTCAGATTTTCCATTTCTTCTTGAGTCAATTTTGATAATTTGGGTGTGCCTAGGAATTTATCCCTTTCATCTAATTTGTTGACATACAACTATGTGTACTATTGTCTTGTAATTCCTTTTACTTCTGTAAGGTCTGTAGTAATTGTTCCTTTCACTTCTGCTTTTAGGAATTTGTGTCTTCTGTCTTTTTGTCTTAGTAAATCTTCCTAAAGATTTGTCGATTTTGTTTTACTTTTTAAAGGACCCACTTTTGGTTTCATTGATTTTCTCTATTGTTTTTCTATTCCCCATTTCATTATCTCTGCCTTAATCTTTATTATTTCCTCCCTTTTGGGTTTCGTCTGCTCTTTTCTTTCTAGTTCCTTAAGGTGGAGATCTAGGTTATTGATTTGCAGTCTTTCGTCTTTTTTAACACAGGCATGTATATCTATACATTTCTGAGGACCGCTTTTACTGTATCACATAAATTTTTTATGTTGTGTTTTAGTTCTTATTCATGTCAAAGGATTTTCTAACTTTCCTTTTGATTTCTGTTTTGATCTGTTGGTTGCTTAAGGCTGTTCTGTTTAATTTCCACCTATTTGTGAATTTTCCAGCTTTCCTTCTGTTAATTGATTTCTAGTTTCAATCCATTTTAATCTTTTAAAATTTATGAAGACTTAATTTGTGGCCTAACATGGTCTGTCCAGGAGAACATTCCATGGGTACCTCAGAAGAATATGCGTTACGCTCCTGTTGTGTAGAATGTTCTGTATATATCTATAAGGTTTACTTGGCTTATAGTATTGTTTCAAGTCCTCTATATCTTTATTGACCTTGTGTCTAGATGTTTATTTACTGTTGAAAACAGGATACTGAAGTCTATAACACTCTTGTAGAACTGTCTATTCCTCCCTTCAATTCTGTCCATTTTTGCTTCATGTCTTTGGGGGTGGGTCTGTTGTTTGGGGTGTATATGCTTATGATTGTTCTATCTTCCTGGTAGATTGACCCTTTTATCAATATATAAGGTCCATCTTTATCTCCTATAACAATTTTGAGTTAAAGTTTATCTTGTCTGATATTGGTACAGCCACCTGACTCTCTTTTGGTTATGTTTTGCTCAGAATACCTTTTATCATCTTTTCACTTTCAACTTATTTGTGTCTTTGGATTTAAAGTGAGTTCTTGTAGCAGCATATGAAAAGATCCTCTTTCTTTTTTTAAATCGATTATATTTCTTAAATCCGTCTTGCCAATTTCTGCTTTTTGATTCGAGAGTTTATTTACAGGCATAGTAGTCACTAATAAGGAGGCCTGTACTTCTACCATGTTTTCCCTCTGCATATCTTACATGTTTTTGTTCCTCAATTCTTCCTCTGCTCCCTGCTTTTGGGTTTAATGGTGTTTTCTTAGTGTACTATCTTCATTCCCTTCTTATTCTCTCCTCCATATATTTTAAACTTATTTTCTTAGTATTCCACTTAGGGATGACAATTTTAAAAATTAGATGACATTTTAAGACGGAGAGCTTTGTCTTTGAGTAGGCTGACCATGCATTTTATAGGCTAATGAACAGAGCTAAATTATTTATAGTCAACATTTCCAAGTATCAGTCTAAACACTTGTTCTGCTTGAATGTAATGACCTTTCTATTAGTAGGTTCAGTAATTCAGAATTCAAGAATTCAGTCTGGTTGTTGCAGTAGGTTAAGTGGTGGGCTGGCGGGCAGGAAGTCTAATCTTTGGTGGTCTAGTCAAACCCCTACCACCTCCAGGCATGAGAGTTTCGTGGCTGTTTCTGCCATGCTTCCTGGTTCATTAGTTCACTGCGGTGAACACAAGGGGGACAGGTGGTGGCAACGGCATCATCCCAAGAAGCCGCTGGAATCACCATCCCGACCGGATATGCTGGCCCGGAGGCTTCTCTAAGCTTCCCATAAATTATGACCTCCAAGCCGTCTATCCCCAGAGGCCTCCCCACCAACCCTGCTCCTACCACTTTCTCCCTGAGGATCAACTAAGAAGCTGGGTGCAAAACCAAATTCTCCAAATAGGAAAGTCAGACGAAAAGAGGACTCAGTCTCCAAGGAGTCTTTCCAAGTTCTCTGTTTTATTTTCTTCTCCAAGCTGCTGCCTTCTACTGGTACCAGGGCTTAAACACATTACCTTTCAAGGACACCAAGGTACATGATTAAAATGGCAAAAAAAATAGTGATAAAGAGAGGATTTTCAAAGGACACCACCGACCTTTTACTCTAGGCTCACTTTTTCCTTCAACCCCCCGGGGACAGAGCAGGAAGGATGGCCTGAAACCTCGCTGCCTCAGCCTATGTCTTCTGTATTTCGTTGGGTGAAGAGTTGAGTTTTTCTCCCCCTTTCAGTTGTGGTTAGCGAAACTTCCCTGAATGATCTTCCTCTTTGGGCCTCACAGCCCTCTGTCCCGGTTCAGCGGCTTCTGTCTTTGAGTAGAGGCGAGACTGGCAGTGGGGATGAGCAGATATCTCTGCAGAGCGTAGGCGACATAGTGGCATAGTAAGCCACTGTGACTCTCTGTTTGATGTCTGCTCTTACCACACAGAGGGACACCAGCCCAGACGGTCTGACCTAACAGGGCCTGACTCATCCACCCCACCCACCCTCAGCCACCCCCTCGCAACCCTAGATCAGAGGATCCTCCTACTTAACACTTCCCTGACGCCCGCCACTTTCCCGACCTGGCTCATCTTCATCTGTATTGTCTGATGAGCCTATAGAAGATCTTTCTTCAATATTGCTTTTCGTGGGGAGAAATAAGTGTGTGAAAGAGAAGCCATGCACATACAACCCGGTCGGTCTTCACTCTTGGGAAAGGGGTGTATCAAGTACTTTGGTGCTTATAGTCTGAGCTGATTAAACACCTGGGCTTGAGTTCCACTGCAGGAGAAACATTGCTATTGAACATGGTGGGTGTTAAGCTGCTGCCAGTCCTAACATTGCATAGGCTAATGAAGAGTTAATTTAGAATCTTGCAGGACTGCCTCCTTATCATGTGTCTTGCTTTACCCCCGATGGCCTGTTCCATAATTCACCATTAGTATTTATAACTAGGTCTTTGAAGCCCAGTGATATATTTTTTTAAATCCTCCGATACATCAAAGGAGGGCGTAATGCCCCCCTTGCCACTGTTGCATAGAAATTAGTAGCTTACAAAGTGATTTTGCATATATAGGCGCATTTGATTGTCTCAGAAACTCAGTAAGGTAGATAGGGAAGATACCATTATTCCCATTTTAGGTGGAAAAAAACCAAACCCAAACAGTTTCAGAGAGGTGAAATGACTTGGCCAAGGCTATAGAGCCAACCAGAGCTGATTCAAATGCAGGATTCCTGTCTAAACCCACACCACCTCTCACCTGACCATGTGGACGCTAGCGGCTCTCTAAATTTGTACAACCAACACCCAAAACAGCAACAGCTGCTCACACTTATGGAGACTTTCTTTCTTTCTTTTTTTAAATATGTAGTCATTTTTGAGAGAGAGAGAGACAGAGACAGAGCATGAGCAGAGGAGGGGCAGAGAGAGAGGGAGACACAATTCGAAGCAAGTTTCAGGCTCTGAGCTGTCAGCACAGAGCCCGACGCGGGGCTTGAACCCACGAACTGTGAGATCATGACCTGAGCGGTAATCGGACGCGTAACCGACTGAACGACCCAGGCGCCCCTGGAGGGATAAAATTTTAAATAGGTTAGCCAGGGAAGGTGTCCCTGAGAAGGTGGCTTTTGTATTAAGACCTAAAGGAAGTGAGAGAAGCAAGTCACATGAACATGCAGGAGCAGCATCCCCAGCAGAAGGAACAGCAAGTGCAAATGCCATGAAGGAAGATGTTTGAGGTACAGCAAACCAGTGGTGTGCCTGGAGCAGAAAGTGATGGGAGGCACAGATCCTGCGAGGGGAGTGGGAGTATAGATATTGTCATCTAGTCCCCAAGCACCAGAACTGGAAGACCGCCCTGAAGCATGAAGGCATTTCAGAACAACACTGCAAGAGACCTTCCTCTGTACACCGAGTGTTAAGTTGACCATTCCGATAGATAATGCAAGCAAATATACGGCACCAGGAAGAGGTGTTCTATAAACTCATGAATAAAGAAGTAAGAAAAGGCCTGGGACCCCTCCTAATTTTGTGCAGTTGACCCCACAAAAGATAACTCGTGTCCCTTCGCCTAGAATCAGAAACAGAATAGTGACCTGGGCAGAGCATTGGCCTAACCCATTAGCACTGTGTTATGTCCCCAGGCATTGGGACCACAGGCCACAAAAGAACCACATTCGGAACCAAAGAGGGTATCACCGGACCAACATACAGTAGAGGTGGGGAAATATGAAGAGCTGTGAAAGCTGCAGCTACCAGAGGGGCCCCGGGTGCTGCATCAAGCCGGTTTGGAAAGAGCTAGCAAGTCAACAGAAATGGAGGTTCTGTCCACCTGCTAAACGATATCGTTTGCCATTGGTGTCCAGGGAGGAGATGGCTCCTAACCTGGCCCTCAGAGGGGCTTTCCTAACATAGATATTTGCAGTTTCTCAGGAGCAGGAGGTGCCCTGGGGTGTGTCTTTGAGGTGTAGAGAAGGCTATGTCAAGAAGCCCAGCGAAGACTATTTGGAAGCCTCTACAAAAAAACTCAGCTGGGAGCCCCAGGACCAGATGGCTTGGAGATAGGGGGAAGCCAGCCATAACGAGGGGGTGGGGGCACTCAGTTCCTCGGGGTCCTCCCAGCAGTCCTGCATCCTCATCCTGGACCAGTAAATGTAAACAGAGGCAGTGCGCTGTTTATGCAAATGCAGCTTACAGACAAGCCCCTCTTCTGCCCTGATTTTCTCCCCTCCCCCCCTCCTATGGAGAAACCCCAGAACCCTGATGACACAGACTGTACTTCTCACCCCAGTCAGCCCCTCCTGTTACTAAAAGGGGCGAATGGGATGAGAGGAAATACAAATCCTTTGACCTTGTAACCTCCATTAAATGGTTGAGTTCCTATCTCCGGGCAAAGGGGGAGCCCTTGAATCCTTTCTAAGCAGGGGGGGCCCCTGAACGTCTTGTTTCTTGTTCTCACCTACAAGGGAACCGGTAGAAGTGTGCCCCTTGCCTCTAAGGAGCCTGTTGACCAGAAGCATCAATGGTGCTGGAGGAAAAAGGGCCAGTAGTTCAGGAAAGATTTCTTCTTTGGGAATTCTTCAGCCAGAACAATCTCCAGCCTACAGAGCTGCCTCATTTCTTTTCTCCCACTCTCTCCAGAGCTCCTTTGAGTGCTCACCTGGACCCGTTCACTCACAGTCCTTGACCACGTATGCCATGATAACCTGTCCCAGCAGCGCTCAGCTGCCCATTGGTTTTAGCACCCCAGCCTCCACCAAGGGCTGTTTGGACTCGTCAGCTGCTCGACACAAGATGGCCTTAAATCCCCGGAAACAAAAGAAGAAGAAGAGCCTTCAGACGACTGTAAGTCCTTCAAGAGGCCTGGGAATAAACCCCTGCATCATAAAAGATGCATTCCAACCTTCCTGAACTGCTCTTAGGGGAGTGGTATGATTTGGGGGATCTATACCTTGAGTACAGATGGTCAAGTCAAGGGCACTATCCCAAGCTTGACACCCCACTCCCATCCCCGAGAGGTGAGTGGACTCGCATGTGGAATTTACATTGAAGGGACTGCAGAAAGCACAGTGACCTAAACCCCAGAAACTGCTTATTGGCCCAGCATCTGGGAATTCCCTCAGCCCTTCTTTGTAGAGGATCTCCAACCGTAGCCCGGATCAGCTTTCTTGTAGTTATTATTTTTGTAGTGTTTATCTATTTTTGAGAGAGCAAAAGCGGGGGAGGGGCAGAGAGCGAGGGGAACAGAGGATCTGAAGTGGGCTCTGCACTGACAGCGGTGAGCCCGATGTGGGGCTTGAACTCACAAACCATGAGATCGTGACCGGATGTTCAACCGACTGAGCCACCCAGGTGCCCCTAGTTTCTTTTCATTATTAATCAAGCAAGACCCGTGAGTTACACATGGAAGTGCTGTCCCACTCGTTTGGAGGTCAGGCTTCCAGCAACTCCAAGCATTCAGTGTCACAACGTTGTGTCCCGTGATTTTCTAGCAGGCAGAGCTACATTTAGGCAAGCCAATTATGTTAAAAACGTGGCCACCAGACTCAGAGCTCTGACGACAAAGAGAGGTGACAGTTGATAGCCAAGAAAGATGGCAGGATCAGTCTGAGACCATTTAGTAGAGGGATCACGGACCTTGCCCAGCTCAATAAATCCCTCAGGACCACCTGTATCATAGTCCAATGTAACATACCATGTTCATCATTCATCTAAGTCATCAAGAAACATTTACCTATGCTCCCTGGTATCTGTTTAAGAAGACAGAGAGGTAATAATGCCTTTGGAAAAAATTTTTACTAAGAGGTAAAACATGTTGGTGCTTCATTTAATTATACTTTACTGAAGGATGTTGGTGTTTAAAAGGATGTGTTAGTTAGCTGGAAGATTCACCTGGGCCAAACACCCGATTCCTCAGTGACTCTGGGCTCTAAGAGTTGTAAATCAGAGCTGGAGGACATGAAAAGATTTCGTAGTTACATGCATTTTGAAGGGAAGGGCATTCTAGGATAAATAGTTGCCCAGCGTCACGAGCCCTGGTGGTGGCAGACCTGGGGCCAGAACCCAGTCTTGACTTTCAGCCCTTAACGCTTTTCATCCCACCGTGTTGCGTCGAGCTCGGACATCTCAATTTAGCTTTAGAAAGAGAACAAACTATGGATTGAAAGAAGAGTCAGCCGGACAGTGGGTCCGGGGGGGCCCCTGGCGGCCCTGAGAGGATCTCCTTGGTTGTCAAGCAGAGAGAGAATAATCACAATACACTAAACCCTATTTATATGCATTATTGCCTGGACACCTCACCACAAACCTAGGAGATGGGGAATGGTGGCCGAGGGAGAGTTAGTGTGAGCCTCTGACTCTCTTCCTTCTGCACAACCTAATTAAGAACACACATGGACATCAGTCTCTAAGAAGGTCGATCCATCTTCTTCCATGTGACTCTCCCTAACTCATGGGTGACTATGAAAGGGTCCAGGATCATTTACGACACAGATCGTAAATTGCTGCCACCCGCTCCTTGCTCTGGAATTTCTTAGCTTTCTCCTCACCCTTAACTTATAGATGTGGATATAGAGATTTAGAGATAGACGTGGAAACAGAGATTTCGAGAATAATGTGGCCAGGGTCACGTGGTGAGTAAATGATGGAGCAGAGACTTGAACTCGGGTCTATCCCACCTCATTCACTCACAAATTTCTTGGAGCTGAGTCTATTTGTGCAGGCACTTTGAGCGAGGGCGTCAAGAGTAATACCTTTGCGTTTAGGTGTGTGTCATAAAGGCTCACACGAAGCAAGTTCTGGTCGCTGGTTCAGTGCACTGCTGTTCTGACATTTCCAAAGGTGCCCTGTAATCATCTGAAACCTTGTTTATGTTAAACCAACTCCAGCCCTTTCTGCATAAGGGCTGAACCCTTCATCGTGTTCTCTCTTCTTTCCCAGCAAACCCCTGATCCTCTTTCTTCCTTTGAGCTGGAAAGACATAATTCATGCTTTCACTAAATTCCCTGAAACGAAGCCAAATGGGCTTTGAATTTGGCTCCCAGACCTGGTGAAACCAGTGTTGCCAAGAACCTGATTGCCATCAGGCCAACAACCGCATTTTCAGACAGATGGCCTTGGAGTGTGGTTTGGTGGTTTCCGGGGTTGGTTTTAGAAGGTGCCCGGCAGCACATCGCTCAGAGATCAGACACTTCGAATTTATGTGAATCACTTCCAATAGATAAACTGATCACTTCCAACAGGGAAAAGGATCACCAGGGGATGAGGCCATTGGACATGACTTCTATGGTTAATGGTGTCGTTATGTTCCCAGCTGAGCCATACGGATATCAAGGACTTTTTCCCCCCGATGTTACTTTGCTTGGCAACCACGCAAGGGTGGATGGGAAGCCCTTCGGTGCCATTCAGCCTCTTGCTTGCCCTCTTTTAGGTGAAGCCAAAGCAGGAGGAGCCAGACCTTCCATTGGCATCTGAAGAAGAGAAGAGAACAACAAAATCCAAAGAAGCTGACCAAAAGAAGCCAAAACAAGACAGTGCAGGTTGGCGCATCCTCACCCTCATTCAGAAACGTGTGTTAAGAGCTTCATGCCTCAGGGCTAGGTGACAAGAGCTGTGGAGGGAGATTTAGTTAGGCCTGCTGCCCCTGGTCCTCGGGGAACGTTCAAGTTCAGGTGCATACCGGCGGGCTCCAAGTTCCTCCATCGAAGCTGCCTGGCGAATACAGTTGCCGCTAGTGGGGGATTAAAGTAAAAGATTATACCTGGATCTCTAGTTTATCTAAATGAGTTTCCAGCCAGAGAGGCGCCTTGTGCTTGTTTATTTGTCTGGAAGCTTGTCTCATCCTTCCCGAGGCTAGCGTACACGCTGAGTGCCTCGGTGAGTCCGGATAGCTGAGGGCAGGCAGCCGTTTCCCCCTCAGTACCCTCCCAGCACCAGAGCCAGGCAATAATAGAATTAGCCAAAAACTAGGTCTTTTTTAAAGGTCCTTTTTAAAAGGGCTTGTGATAACAGTGAGACCCATTTCCATATCCACAGGCAAAGAGGCCTTGGGTAGCTGTGGACAGATATACTCGGCAGCCAGCACCTGCCAAATCCCCCAAACAACAAATACCACTGGAGTGAAAATCTGTGTGGTGTGTGTGCGTGCGCGCGCGCGTGCGCGTGTGTGTGTGTGTGTGTGTGGATGGGGGCGTTGGTTGCCGCTGATGGCAGCCCAATTTCAAGCAATACTTGATAAAACAAAATTGTAACCCTACAATTAAGTTGAACAGTTATATTTTTGCTGCAAAGGATTTCCCCTGTGGGTTCAAAGACAGGAGATCCCTAGATACATTTTTCCACAAAAATTCACAAAACTCATCTGCAGGAAGAAGGAGGAAGAGGAGGAGGAGGAGGTGGAGCAGAAGGGAGAGGGAGGGATGGAGGAAGAGGAGGAGGAGAAGGAGAAAATGAAATTAAATGTACTTCCTTTTGGATCTTTTTCTCATATTTATTTATTTTTAAAAATTTTTAATGTTAAAGTTTTTTAATGTTTATTTTTTGAAAGAGAGAGACAGAGTGAGCACGAACGGGGGAGGGACAGAGGCAGAGGGAGACACAGAAGCAGGCTCCAAGCTGTGAGCTGTCAGCACAGAGCCCCACGCGGGCCTTGAAACCCACCAACTATGAGATCATGGCCTGAGCCAAAGTCAAACACTTAACTGACTGAGCCACCCAGGCGCCCCTAAATTTATTTTTTTAATGTTTATTTATTTATTTTCGAGAGAAAGAAAGAGTGTGAGCGTGGGAGGGGCAGAGGCAGAGGGAGACACCGAATCTGAAGCAGGCTCCAGGCTCCGAGCTGTCAGCACAGAGCCCCACGCGGGCCTTGAAACCCACCAACTATGAGATCATGGCCTGAGCCAAAGTCAAACACTTAACTGACTGAGCCACCCAGGTGCCCCTCATATTTATTTTTAATAGTTGTCCCTTTTATGCATGGAGGATAGAACTGATTCCATATCTGCGGGGGCAGATACTTTGTTTTTTCTGCGTAATTGGGGTGTAGCCAGCTATGCCCAGCATTGTAAGCTGGATCTGGAAGCACTAGATGGAGATCGGGGGATTCCATGGATGATGAGGGGCGGAAGTCAGTGAGGGTCCTCCCACCTGGGGACTGAACAATTCCTAGTAAACGTACGAGGGAGGAGTGGGGCAATCTGTGTAATTGTTGCCTTGTGCTTGACCTGAAGCCTGTAGACACTGATGTAACTGTTAAGGCTTTCCAAGAATTGCTTTGCGTGTATATTACATCAGACCGATTTAATACAAAAGAGTAAAAAGCAAAAGAAAAGGGGGCCTCAATCCTACCTCCCAGATGATTCCCTGTTGACACCTTTCTAAAAATTAAAGCAATACCATGGGGCTCCTGGGTGGCTTCGTCGGTTAAGCGTCCGACTTTCGCTTGGGTCATGACCTCGCGGTTCGTGGGTTCGAGCCCCTGCGTCGGGCTCTGTGCTGACTGCCAGCTCAGAGCCTGGAGCCAATTTCAGAGTCTGTATCTCCTTCTCTCTCTGACCCTCCCCTGCTCACGCTGTCTCTCTCTCCTAGAAATAAATAAAAAATATTAAAAAAAAATTAAAGCAGTACGTGCACATGATATGAAAATTAGATAGAATTAAAGTAAAAAATAGAAACACTAATCAGAAAGTGAAATTCTCCTTTTTGCCTGGCCCATCAGTTTCCTAAAAGGTAATACTTGCTACAGGTTCAAACCTGGGGGGCTCAGTCAGTTAAGCGTCCAGCTCTTGACTTCGGCTCAGGTCACGATCTCACGTCCCTGTGTCAGGGCTCTCTACTGTCAGCACTGAGACCGCTTCAGATCTTCTGTCCCCAACCGCCCCCCGAACTCTGCCCCTCCCCCACTTGCACTCTCTCTCTCTCAAAAATAAACAAACATTTTTTTAATCTTACAAAAAAATTGCAATGTGTCTCCCACTTACTGGTGGACCAGACTTTTGATTTGATGTTGATGAGCCAACCTGGTAATCAGTGCATAAAGTTGGGATTTCACTTGGATGTCAAAATCTCCACCTGCAGAGGCTGACAGCAGCCACACTGCTCACTTTCTTCTGACTAGTTCCATCCATTCCTCCCTGAGGAATTCCATAGTAAATAGGTTCCCATTGGGCCGGGGCAGAATGGTCTTATTTTCAGAAGCCGAAGGCCCACGCAGTTTTCTTGTCCTTATTTCCTGTTTGGCACAGGTGCCTCGAGCCTGGAGCAGAGCAAGAAAACTGCAAATCTGGGTAAGAAGATGGCGGAGCAGGCCACAAACCCAGATGCTGCCGGTGCTCAGGGCTACCTGTCAGCGTCGGCGTACGGAAGACAACGGGCAAGAAAAGAACCCGGGGCTGTAGGAATCAGCGAGTGTGGGCTCCGAGGAAGAAGCTTCAAACAGTCTTCTGCCTTCTCTGGACCCTTCTCTTTGGAGCAGTCCACCACTCCACCGACAGCAAGTGGGACTCCTCAGGAAGTACTTTCAGACAAAGATGGCCTGGGCAAGAGGCATCCCGGGGTAGACTTTAAAGCTGCAAAAGCATCAGTAGCCCAGTCTGTGCCTGAAGACCTGGTTGGTGACCTGTCACCGTGCTGGGAAGGTGGAGCCCCCAGAGCCAAGGAGGCGGAAGCCAGAGCTACTCTTTCATCCACAGTGGCCGAGTCCAAAGGGTGTAAGCGTTCTTCTCATACCCAGTCAGAGAGGAAAGAAACCTCCAGCTCCAAGTTGCAAGGTCGCTGGCTGAAAACGGAGTCAGCTCAAGATATTCCGACTCTGAGCAGAGAGAAGCCGGCAAGTGCTTTGGCAAAGAGAGGCGTTTCTGTGGCGAGGCCACGTCTCAGGAGCCTTTCCTGGGCCGGGCTGGAGCCCCAAGCCAAAGAAGCGTTCTCGGATTCCAAGAGTTCTGGAGAGCTGGGGGATGGCTCAGAGCAGCAGGTGGCCCCCAGGCCTTCTGTCCAGTCCTTGGAGAGGCCCAAAGATGACCAAAGAGTCTTCACAAGCCCGGGAAGTTCAGCCGCAGAGCCGAGCCCGCCTGGGCAGCAGCTGGCTTCGAGATCCCCTTCGCGGGCCTTGGCGCAGCCCGAGGCTGAAGAAGTGTCCTTGGATTCAGAGAGTGCTCCAGAGGCCGGAGGCCCAGGACTCCTCACAGACTCCAAGAGCACTTCTGCAGAGGAGGTGGTTTCTGGATCTGCTCCTGTGGCCTTGGGGGACCCCAAAGACAAAGGGTCCAGAGGGCTGCATAGCGACGCAGACGCCGACAAGTTCAAGAGTGCTGACCCTTCCCAGGCCTCGAGCGAGAAGCCCAAAGACCAACCAGGAAGCCCCTCCGTTTCGAAGTGCGCGCTTCAGGACTGGGGCATTTCCGTGCAGGGGGTCACTCTCACACAGCCTCCTCAGTCCTTCGAGAAGCCGGCTGTCGAGCAGCAAGTGTCCTCGCACCCGTTGAGGGCTCCAGCACAGCCTTCCCAGTCTGCGGCGGGCACCAAAGCCGAGCAGCAAACCTCCTCGACGGCGCATCTGGAGGGCGCAGCTCAGGAGTGGGGCCTCTCTGTGGAGCTGCTGCTTCTCAGAACCTCTTCGAAGCCCGTGCTGCAGCTTACAGTTGAGCAACCAGTCTCCCAAAGCCCAGACATCGCTACGGCCACGGGCATCAGTTCTGAGGCCCCCGAGCCTCATTCTAAGTCTCCTCTGAAACCCATAGCTGTGGATGCCATCCCCGTGGGTCCAGATTGCATGGCTGTCCAGGACAGCGTTTCTAAGCAAGTGCTGCCTTCCAGGGGTCCTTTCCAGGCCCTGCTGAGACCGGCAGCCGGGGATCAAGTCTCTTGTGGCGCTGAAAGTGCCGTGGTTGAGAACAACAACGCCTCTATGCAGCCGCTGGTCCCCAGGCTTCAGTCCCCGAGGGGACCTCTGGCCCAAGGCTCTGAAAGTCCGGAGAGTGCTGCAGCTGAGGGGGGCGCTTCTGGGGAGCCGCTGCTCCCCAACCATGCTGCTCAGTCCCTGGGGAACCCTCAAAGCCAGCAGATCTCAGAGAACGCTGTGGTCAAGGAGGGCACGTCTGCCTCGCCGCCTCGCCGAGGCCCTTCCCAGCCCTCGGGGGAGCCCAAACTCCAGGCACAGACCCTCATCCCTGCCTCAGCGAATACTTCTGCAGGCAGCGGCCCTGAGGAGAAGACGCCTCCTACAGACACCTCCCAGGCCTGGGTGAGCCCCAAGGTTGAGCAAGAAGCCTCGGTGGGTCCCGAGAGCTCTGCTGCTGTGGAGCAAGGCATCGCTGTGGAGCCACTGCCCTCCAGGAAGCCCTCTCTGTTCTGGGAGAGGCCAGGCATGGAGCAGCAAGCTGCCTCGGGTTCAGGAAGTGCTCCCGCAGCACAGAGCACTCCGGGAGAGCCAAAGCCTCCCAAGAGCGCTTTGCAGGCTCAGGGCCACCGTAAATCCAAGCAAGCGGCCTCGAGGGATCCAGAGGGTGTTGCGGCCGAGGACACGTCCAAGGAGCAGCCACCCGCCACAATGTCTTCTCAGTCCCCGATGAAACCCATGGTGAAACGGGCAGTCTCTGCAGGTCCGGAGAGTGTGGTCGCCAAGAGGGAGGCTTCCGGAGAGCCGCTGCTTCCCAGGCAGTTTGCCAGGCTCCTTGCGGGACACAAAGTCCAGCAAATATCTTCCAATTTTGAGATCATCGCTACAGAGGGCGCCATCTCTGGGAAGCCAGTGCCTTCCAAGAGTCCTCCCCAGATCTTGGTGAGGTCTAAAGTCCAGGAAATGTCCTCACGTCTAGAGAACAAGGCCCTTGAAGGAGACATGCCTAAGAAGTCACCGATGCCTAGATATCCTTCCCGGTCATTTGTGAAGTATATGGCAGAGCAAGTCTTTTCAGAGAGCCCCACGGCTGAGAAGGGAATTCACGCAGATCTTCTGTCTACAAATCCACCTTCCAAACCTTCGATGAGGCCCAAAGTCCAGTTCCAAGTCTTCTCAGGGCAGGAGAACGCCAAAATGGAGGAAGGCATTTCTTCCCAGCTGCTGCCTTCTAAAGGCCCCTTACAGTCCTCGGGGAGGCCCGAAGACCCCAAAGAAGTCTCCTCACCGTCTGAGAGTGCTCCCGCGGAGCTGAGAGGTTCAAAAGAGCAGCCACCTCCCAGATGCCTTTCCCAGGCTTTGGGGAAGCTTGAGTACCAACAGTATGTCTCCCCAGCCTCTGAGAGCGCTCTTGAAGGAAGGAAGAGCTCTGAAGACAAGCTGCCTTCCGGGGGCCCTTCCCAAGCACATGTTTTCTCAACAGGCTCGGCGAGTGCGCCTGTGGAGCAGAGCTGTTTTGAGAGGCCCCTGCCTCCCAGTGCCTCCTTCCAGGCTTTTGCAGACCCTGAAGCTCAGTGTTCCGTGGGCACCGCTGTTGAGGGAGCCGTTCCTGGGAGCAATCCTAGTGGCTGGTCCGTACCGAAAGGCTCAGCTTCTCCACGCGGAACCAAGAAACATAGCCACGGCTCTCAAGACCTCGTTAAGAACATCCTGGTTCTTGCTGCCAAACCCATGCAGCTCACTTATGCTCCTGCCAGCCAGACATCCGCTTCTGGGGTCACTTGCCCCAAGGAGGAAGTTGTCAAGAGCAGCGATCCGAATAACAGCCACTCAGATGTGCCCACCACCGAGGCTGATGTTGAAAACCTCTTTGGAATTCGACTGAGAAAAATCCCTGCCTCCGAGAAGCTCAAGGGTGAGAAACAAGATGATTGTACCAAGCTGTCTTCACTCTCCTGGGGCCCCAATTCACTTCCTGTACATAAAGAGCATCGGATCAAAAGAAGTGCTTCCCACGGGTTTCTGGGCACAGCAGAGTGCTTCATCCCAGGATACGAGTTTGCAGAGAAGCAACAAGGCAGGCCCAAGTCTGAAGTCATAGCCGGGAGTCAACCCGCTGACAAGGTCCCAGGTGAGACTTTCTCCTTCTGGGGGCACGTGCTGAATGGAGGGAAGCACTAGAAATCAAAGCCTTGAGCGGGAGGATGTCTGTTCCTGCCCGGCCTGCTGAGCCGATGCTTCGATGGGGCCGTCTTCGTGCATTTTCTGAGCAGGCTGGTGTCCCGTTCTAGATGGATGGGTGCGGAGATGGTCAATTTTGAACCTTTTCCTTCCCAGGCAGGTCCCACCGTCTGGACAGACGTCCACATTCTGTCATGGACACACGTACTGTGCTCCCCCCACAGCACCATGGGGATTTTCAAAGCCAACTCATTAGTAGAGCGCCATGTGCAGGCTCTCAGGCCGAACTCTTAATTCACTGGGAATGTTTATAGCTCCACAGCTTCTTCACACCCCTGAAATGCCTAAGAATCCAGAGCTAGGTGATCTTTTGAGCCCTGGTCTCTCCCAAAGCCCTCGTACCTTCACACTGCCCACCACGTACTCTTGAGTACGCCCATAACCACGGCCGTGGAACCGCACACACGAGGGACCGTGACGTACCAGAGGCCATATGAGGTACCCTTGGGGTTACAAGAATGACATCAATAGCCCGAGCCCCTGGCCTCCGGGGGAGTGTTCCCAGCCAATCTGGCAACGACTGTCCTCCCCTGACTTGGGCATAGGAAGAGGGACGGACGAGGGAGGGAGAGGGACCAGTGAGTGGACAGTGTGCAAACGTGGACGTACAGCCTCTCATCTCCACAAGGAGCGCCTGCCTTCGCCGGGTTGTGGGGACGGCACAAAAGAAGGGGGTCCTTTTCTGTGTGATCGCTCTTTCTTTTCATCTGCCAATTACCGAGGATCCCACATGGTTGTGTTATCGTGGGTAGGCCCCAGCCTGGCCTGAGACCCGGCCTGCCTCACTTTGGTTGTAACCACTGTCTTTCCTTTCTCAGGAGGGGCGCCTGGTCAACAGGCATATTACAGCATCTCAGAGCCAACTTGGATAACCAAGCTAATGGAGAAGCAGAAGGGTTCTCAGGTCCCTGTTCCTACGAAAGAGCCAGAAGCCAAGAACAGGGCCACAATCAAAGAGGCTTCATCTGTGGTAAGATGTGCAGCAGCCCACGGGACACTCCCACAGGGTGCTAGAACTGGCTGACTAAGCTTGCGTTGGGAACTTGGCCACGCATGCAGCTTCCCACCTCTCTCGGTGCATTCATTAAGGCAGGGCGACTCTTCAGGGGGAAAGGTCTTGCCTTGTACTCATACAATAACGTGCCCTGCTAGGGCGCCTGGGTGGCTTGGTCAGTTGAGCATTTTACTTCAGCTCAGGTCATGATCTCACGGTTCGTGAGTTCGAGCCCCACATCGGGCTTCCAGCCGGAGCCCGCTTTGAATCCTCCATCTCCCTCTCTCTCTGCCCCTCCCGTGTTCTCTCTCTCTCTCTCAAAAATGAATAAACATTTTTTAAAAAACATGCCCTGCTTTATGCTCTTACAGGGTTCACGAAAAGTATTAATATGAGAAGGCTTTGTAAATCCAATCCTGTCCTAAATATTGTAGAGCAGTATTCCATGAAGTCGGTTGAGAAATGAAGAATAAGTCATAGATTAAAAACAAACAAACAAACAAAAAGAATCACTGAGGGGAGAATTGAGTAACTATCCTTAGAGGTATTTTATGCTTATAAGTATAGGTAAGTATTTAAGAAACTATAAATGGAATCAAACTATCTGTACTTTTTTCATTTAACATTTCATTTCTGGGCACCTTTCCGTATCATACATAGTGGTTTACTTTATAAAGGCAACGTTTGCTATTTGGGATTTCACATCTTGGCTTGGTTTGGCATGGCACCTCCCTATAGGTTAGAAGAAAAGTTACGTGATGTACTAGACTAATGGTCCCACACGTGGATGGGGGATGATGAGGTGGTGTCTTGCTTTCAATGTCCCATTTGCAGTGTCTTTGAAGGTGTTGGAATGAGAAGTCCTCTTGTCAAAACTGTCACAAAAACAAATCAAATTTGCATATCAAGAGATATGTGTCCACGACCCCTGGGTGGCTCGGTGGGTTAAGCTTCCGGCTTAGGCTCAGGTCATGATCTCTTAGTCTGTGAGTTAGCTTACTGTTAAGGGTGGGTGATGTGCTTGGGAAAAGGTTGTTCTCAGCTGAAATAAGTATGTTAACCCGTTTAAACTATCTGTATGATTAGACAGGCTTTTCTTCCAGATTGCAAAGGTGGTAAACTTGACCTAGCTAAGGTTTTGTGAACCGAAATTCTGAACCAAGGTCGTCTCAGTGCTATTTCCTTCCTTCTCTGTCTCTCTGTCTCTGTCTCTGTCTCTGTCTCTCTCTCTCTTTTCTTTTGACTAATGTTAAACTCATACCCAGGACGAGGCTTGTACCTTGTGGTTTTCTGACTAAGTGATTGGTTCTTTTCCACATCGGGACTCACAAGCCTTTTGTTGTCACTTTTTGTATTAAAGGAAGATATCTTTGAAGACGGAAAACAGCCAGCAAGTATTTTTACTTCCAATGTCAGTAAACAAGAGCAGATGGCACCAAAAAAGCTACTTGAGCCCACCAAAGGAGGTAGAAACATACCCCCCTCCCCTGCAAAAGAGCCCTGGCAGCAGATTGCGAAACTTTAGAAATTTCTGTCTCTGACAATCCGTGTCTTTTCCCACCTCTCCCCTGTCCCGAATCAGCTTTGTGATTCTCATGGCTCTTCCATTAGGTGCAGCTATTAGCTCGTTTTAGGAAAATCCCGTTATTATGACCACTCGAAGTCCAGTGTGTAACTTCCAGGGGGTCTTCCGGTCTTCCAGCTCATCGAGGAAGCTGTTACAGGCACAAAATTGTAATCACTCACTAAAATGTTCCTGTGGTTGGTATTCAGGAGGAAAGAGGCAAAAGCTGCTTTCCAGTTCGTGGCAAAACAGTATTTTCTTGACTCCTACACCCCCAACGGCACTTTAATCCACTGTGAAGGCCCAGTGGTGTTGAATTGTTCCTTTTAACCATTTTTTAATGTTTATTTATTTTTGAGAGAGAGAGGGAATGCAAGCGGGGGAGGGGCAGAGAGATGGGGGGCACAGAGGATCCAAACCGGGACTCCACGCTGACTGCGGAGAGCCCGATGCAGAGCTCGAACCCATGAACCATGAGACCATGACCATAACCTGAGTTGGATGCTTAACTGACAGAGGCACTCAGGCGCCCCTTCGTTTAGCTATTTAAAAGGCTTGTTTCTCCATCTTCTAAGCAGGAGGTGAGAGGTGGGGAGATGTTGAAAGCTGAGAGAGCACTGGGCTGGGATAGAATAGAACGTGGTCTCATCAGGACGCCTGCTGGCTCAGCTGGTTAACCATCTGACTCTTGATCTCGGCTCAGGTCATGGATTCACCATGAGTTCGAGCCCCGTGTCAGGCTCTGTGCTGGCAGCTTGGGATTCTCTTTGATTCTCTCTCTGCCCCTATCCCCCTCGTGCTCTCTCTCTCTCAAAATAAATAAATAAATAAACTTTAAAAAAATAAAAAAGAATGTGATCTCATCAGTGGAGTTGTGTGCCAGAGGGATTTTCTTTTCAGTGGGAGCCAGAGGAAGGGGGGAGGGAAGGACGGATGTGTATTCAATCATCTTTGTCCTCTCTCCTTGTTCCTTTCATGAAGAATTAGATGAGGAATTTAGGAAATGATTTCATCGGCCACAAAATAGTAGCACCCGACTTGCTGATAGCAATTCATAACCTCATGGGCACTGTGCTCCTGTGCAGTGATTCTCAATTCTGTGCATTAGAATTGCCTGGTGACCTTTTTAAACATTTAAAAAATTACAGATGGCCCTGGCTGAATCCGTTGCTAAAGATTCTAATTCTGTTAGTTCAGGGAACAGTGTGGACATTGGTATTTAAGGCTTGAGGTGTGTAACACCAGTCCGATTTCTACTCAAATCTGTATCTCCCAAATTGCAATTCTGATTGATTGAATAAATGTCTGATTGCTAACAAACAAAACAAAACAAAAAGCCCTTGGTGATTCTAATGTGTCACCCACATTGAGAACCACTGTTTGAGTCTAAGCCACTAAGTCAGTCCACCATAAAGCAGGCTGAGGGGAAGAGTAGAACCGGGGGATAGAGAGGTAGTCTGCTTGGTCAGAGAAGTTGACACAATGTCTGTTGGCACAGACTTTTACTGGGTGGGTCCACTGGGCCATTGGTCACTTCGTGTGACGTGGATTGGCAACGCAAAAATAATATCACCTGATTTGAAATGTAAGCAACCGAATAGATAACATACTGTCTGCTTCCTCTCTGGTCTCAATTCAAAAGTGTAAGACCATCTAGTCATAACAACCAGCCAAAGATTGGCAGTTACAGCTGTAGGCATTTCCTCCTGGGCCTTCCTGTGGTCAGGCCCCCGTGGCCATAGTCATATAGATCTTATCCCTTTGACATGCCACCCAGGGTGATGCGCGTGCGCTGACTTGTAGAAGCCAGGGGAAACCTGAGAGGAGGAAACCTTGTTCTGTTGTCCCGTCAACATAGCTCCGTGTCTCTTGCCGCTTGTGTGTTATTGGCTGTGGTTCTTGTAGGACTGGAAGACGAGAAGCCATTTCAAGAGCACCCCATGAGAAAAAGAATCCTGCGATCTTCAACTCTCCCAGCCGTATTCCAAGAGCCGACACAGTCAGAAGAGCCAGTCTGGTTCTCCATGGCCAAGAAGAAAGCCAAAGCTTGGAGCCATATAGCCGAGATCATACAATAAGTAGCTCCTGGGTGGAGTATCAGCATTTCAAATGATAATTGCCAAGCGCTCTAGCAATGCCTTGCAGTGATTTATTTACAGTAACCATTTTTCTTCATTAAGCAAAAGAGCCTTAAAATGGTAATTGAAGCGAATAACCATTAGAATGTAGCCAATGCCATGAATGCCTAACCTTCAGTACAGTCACTGCCAACATCTGAAAACCCAGCATTTCCTCCATAGAAACGATGTAAAATGTTTGCACTGCTAGGGGGCAGTATTGAACCTTGTACAATGTGCCTTAGAAACCAGAAAGCAAAAGCGTTTTGCTAGAGCAACTAAGATGTGGTCATTTCCCTTAAGTAAGTTAATTCGAGTGGAAATGGCCAGATGACTTGGCCCAAGGATTGGCTTTTAGGTTTTATGAGCCTGGTTAAATGCTTCCGTCCCTGCTCCAAGCTTCGCAAAGGCCCCTGGAAGAAGTGGTGGAAGTGAAAATTCTGGATCTCCAAGGAAAATTTTGCTCAGCCAGTCCCCCAATTAGCCATTGCCCTTTGAAACACCACCCGTGTATCCCTGGGGCTCCCCGGTGCCTACAGCTTAGCTGCCTCTTTGCACAGGCCCCGTGTCGCAGGTCTGGCGGCATTGAGCACCTCCCTATGAGACAGAGCATTGCTTGGGGATTATTGTCCCCAAGATGATGGTTAGACCTCTTGCCCCAAGGCCACTGCGATGCTCTAATTGCCGAGAAATGCGCCAAACGCCATATAGATCTTGTTTTTTAAGCACCTAAGACCCTACTGCAATTCAAAATTCTACAGATGCCAAAAACTGTATTTCCTATCAGGCAGATGGGAAGCCTTCCTTAAGGAAGGCTGGGGCCACTGGAGAGCTGTCTTCTCCGTGGCTCTAGCTTTAAGGCAGAAACAACCACATAGCCCGGTTTCCAGTCTCTTTTCCTCAGCAGCTTCTGTTTCACAAGATTTTAGCCCAAAGCAAGAGCACAACCCCAAAGCCATAGAACAATTCAGTTTCTGCCACCGGAAGCCTTAAGTCATTGAATCCGTCTGGCTTCTCTAGGCTAGATAGCTTCCACCTGCCCCAGTGAACCACTCACCCCAGATCCCTTCCTTCCATTGCATCCCCCAAACACACCGAACCCTAAGGGAGAGCTTCCTTGGGGTGCCTGGGTGGTTCCTAGCTCATTTTCTTAGGAGACCCAGAAGTGTCTTCTCTGCATACCTTTTACTGCGTCCGCCTCTGTCATCACGGAGCTGCTTTGCTTCTACAGAAATGTAAGCCTAGACCTCTAACTGTGCCTTTAAATTCGGAGCGGGGTACTGCCTCGTGCAAAAACAAAATTCAGGGAGGCAGTGAGGCGCCAGAGCTAATGTAAACCTTGGTGCTTGGTTTCGCTGGTGATGGTGTAATGTGACCTTGTACAATCATATGCTGGATTTTGCATTTTCTTTATAAAACTTCAATGTTTCCTGATACTGTCTCTTTGCCGTTCGGATAATGCGAGGTTTTTGATTGATTTGGTTTGATTTCCTTTATATTTCCAGAGTGATCAGTTATTTAGGTAGATGCCCTTTACCCAGTGACCCTGGTACTTAGGTGTTACACCTCCCTACCCCCTTCCCTCAGTGTAGACCACTATTAGCTTATTCTCCCTCTGAGAGCTCTCCATTAACCATTTCTTTTCCACAGTTAACACAATTCTGTTTTTAAGTAAAGAAGTTAAGGGGTTTTGAAATGCATAGATGCACATTCTGATAAGTTTTCAGCTTCTCGTAGCATTCTTGATTTTTATTATGTACATGCAAAGCAAATAAATTCAATAAAGCTTATTCTGTCGTCTGTCTTTGTCGCGTGCGAAGGGAAGTTGAATAACATATTGATGACTCAGACCTGAGGGTTGTCCAAGAAGCAAAAGGTTCTGAAGAGGTTGTGCAGGGCACAGAGGGCCTCCACACAGGTGTGCCCGACCGAGCCGATGGTCTCCAGGTGAGAGTTTGTATGGGCAAGAAGTGGTATCAATCTTTTGTGTATAAAGACCTAGAGGGCAAAGAAGAGGGCCAGTCAGAGAGTACTGGAGTTGGCGGTGAGGGAGTACAGGGGTAAGGTGGTGGGTAGATGTACTCCAGCGCAGACTAGGGACTAGATCTAGGTCTTACAGCAAGATGGGCTGTTCGAACAAGAATTTTCAGAAGCCGGGGGCCCCGTTGTGCACAGGGAACGAAGCGTCACATGGAGGGAAGAAGGCAAAGGGGTGATAGACCGGAAAATTTCACCTGGACTTCTCGTAACGTAACATTTGCTGGGGTCAGAAGAAAGTTCTGTTGGGGATCCATATATCTATATATTTGAATCAGCGCCTTTTATCGAATGGTTTCTCTCCTTCCATGACAAATGTACCTTCATCATGGCCTGAAGGGGCCGGTTGAGATTTAGAATTCTCAGACCCCGCCCCGCCCCGCCATCTCCTAGACCAGGCCCCATCCTGTCCCAGGCACACGACTCCCACCCCCTTCGGGCCTGCGAGCACACACACACACACACACACACACCGGGCTGTGCAGTAGCACCCCGCCCCCCACCAAGGGCAGCTCCAAGAGGAACACACAGGCCCTGGCAGCAGGCTGGCACTGTTCCGGGTGCCCTGTGCCTGGAGCACCTGCAGCAGGGCGTCCCCTTTGTCCCTCTGTCTCATCATGTGGCTCTGGCCATAAGGAATACGTGACAACACATTTTAAAACATCAACACTGGTGACAAAGAGGGGGAAAAAGGATTGTGAAAGTATTCAGTTTACTTCCCTTCAGTGGGCATTAGTGGAGTATCTATTAAGTGAAAAACTCAGTGGCTAGGGTTTGGGGGGAAAAAGATAAAAACCTTTTAAGGTCCCAATAATTCAGAAGTTCACTGTCCAGGGGGTGGGGAGGTGGGGGGGGTGAGTAGAGGCACATATGCGCAAATAATGCACAAATAATTTGAATAGGAATGTTCACAGCAACACTATTCACAAGAGCCAAATGGTGGAAACAATGTAAATGTCTATCAACAGAAGAATGGATAAAGAAATTGTGGCGTTGGGGCGCCTGGGTGGCTCGGGCGCCTGGGTGGCTCAGTCGCCTGGATGGCTCAGTCGGTTGAGCGTCCAACTTCAGCTCAGGCCATGATCTCACAGTTCATGGGTTCTAGCCCTGCGTTGGGCTCTGTGCTGCCAGCTCGGAGCCTAGAGCCTGCTTCAGATTCTGTGTCTCCCTCTCTCTCTGACCCTCCCCTGCTCACGCAGCCTCTCTCTCTCTCTCTCTCTCAGAAATAAATAAAAACATTAAAAATAAAAGAGTTTTAAAAATTGTGGCATATACCTGCAGTAAAATATTATTCGGGGGGCCTGGGTGGCTCAGTCGGTTGAGCATCCGACCTCGGCTCAGGTCATGATCTCGTGGTTTGTGGGTCCGAGCCCCGCATTGGACTCTGTGCTGACAGCTCAGAGCCTGGAGCCTGCTTTGGATTCTGTGTCCCCCCCCTCGCCCCTCCCCTGCTCGCACTCTATCTCTCAAAAATAAATATTAAAAAAAATTAAAAACCATTATTCAGTCATAAAAAGGAATGGAGTGCTGATACCTGCTATAACATGGATGCGTCCCAAGAACATGATGCTAAGTGAAAGAAGCCAGGCTCGAAAGTTCACATATTGGATTATTTCATTTATATGTAATGTTTAGAATAAGGATATTCATAGACGTGGAAAACACATTGGTGGTCGCCAGGCGCTGGGGGGAGGATGGGGAGCGACTACTTAGTACAGAGTCTGAGGGTGATGAAAGTGAACTAAAGAAGTGGTGTTACACAGAATTGTGAACATCACCGAACTTTTCACTTTTAGATGGTTCGTTTTAAGTGAATTTCACCTCAATTAAAAAATAATGGTGCCATAAGTTAGCATATGAAATGAGCTAGCACAGAATGTGGGAGAAGCTGCCTCACGCCACCAAGGGGCACCTGGGAAGCCTTAACTAAATGCAGAAATGAGGCCCTCTCCTCTCAAACCCCTGGGGGCTTCCCCTTGTCTGATCCTCTGGTCAGGTACGACTATATGTTTCCTCCCCTTAAACAGAGTCTAGAGATTAAGCCTATTCTTTTTTCCTCTTTTAATTTTTTTTCATGTTTTATTAGGAAATATTTCAGATCTACACAGAATTAGAGAGACTACTCTATCAGCATCTCTGTACCCACCACCCAGCTTAAGAAATGTAACACTGCAGGGGTGCCTGGTGGAGCAGTGGGTTGAGCATCCGCCTCTTGATCGCAGCTCCACTCACGAGCTCACCGTTCTGGGTTCAAGCCCTGCATCAGGCTCTGCGATATCTGCTCCTTCCCCGCATTTTCTCTCTTTCTTAAAATAAACAAACTTAAAAAAAAAAAAAAAAGAAATGTAATATTGCAGATACAGTTGAAGCCTCCGTGGAGCCTTCCCCAGTAGGATCCCTCTGTTTCCCCAGGATGTAATCACCACCCTAAGTGAGTTAGGTACCTTTCCCCCCATGCCGTTACACATGCTACATTTGTATGCATCTCTCCTATGCCTGCTTTTTACTCCAGATGTTTGTATCCACAAGGTACATGGTGATCATTTTGCATGTGCTTTTAGACTTCAAATACATGGTATCCTGTTTGTATCCTTCTGGAATCGGCTTCTTCACTTCTGCAGTTTCCCCGCCTTCACCCAGTGTGAGCCCCTCTGTGTCTCGGCCCCTGTGAGCTCTGGCCTTGTCCCCAGTCCAGCCCTAGCTGTCTTGTACGGTTTACCAGCAAGTCCCAAGCCAGTGAATTAAGGCTGCTTCTACCATAGGTGAGTCTCCTCTTCCCCTGTGGCTCTTAACCAAACTTGGAGAACTGCCCTGTGAATCAGTGTCTGGGTCGCTCAGCGGCACCATGTGGCCTCCCGCGAGGTGTCCTTCCGAACCACACGCTAGAGCAGTGCCATCTGATATACGTGACCATGTGACTCATGTGTGGCACTTTAAGTTTTCTCATAGCCACACTAAAAAAGTAACAAGAAATGGGCAAAATTAATTTCAATAGCACATTTTCACTTAATAAAGTATCACTTTGCTGTGTAATCAGTGTAAAATCAGTGAGTTAAGTCAGTTTTCTGCTTACGGCGTGCCTCAAATAAGAGCAGGCGTGTTTCGGCAGCCACGCGCAGTGGGTTACTCACGTCGTGGGCAGCGTGGCTCTGAAAGACCTGACCTCCGTCTCCGTCTCTCCAACAATTGTTTTAAACTTGACATTTTAACTTATTTGGGGCTATAATAAAATAATTTAAAACAGGCTCACCAAATGGTAGGAAGTGATAGCTTTTAATGAAGATAGAGTGTGCCAAAACAAAGAGGTAAAAGAGAGATTTCAGATAATTTATCTAAATAAAATCTGCCTTCATTCCAGTTTATAAATTTAAAACAAGCTTATTTTTGATGAGAACAAATGTTGTCAAACATAACTGTCAAGTGTAACAGAAAAGGCAGATTTCATTGGATATCACTCTTGGGGCGATGCGGTTCAGAATGACATTGGTGTTAATGAAATTCCCACGCGCTTCTAAAAAATGAAAAACCAAAAACAATGAGCCACAGATTCTTCTTTCTTCATCTTTTCTCGTTCCTCCCAGCTGCAGGATGAAACGAGAGAAAATTAACGATCATAGAGCATTAAGCAGCAACAGCGACTTTCCAAACCTATGAAAACAGCCCTGTGTGTATCTGCCACGTCTGCGGGCTGTTTGTCAACAAGGAGAGAACAACCCAGTTTCACCTGTAACCTGTACCTTGTGCTCCGGGTGTTCGTGGGGCCCATGGCTTCGATCACCTGCTCAGACCAACCTGGTCTCCCTCTGGCCTAACAACCATCAGTGCTTTCCTCTTTCCCTTGAGAGGCCGTTCTGGGATTTA